CGCGACCACCCTCCGCGACGGTTCACGAGAAAGTGAGGAAGCAAGCACAGACCTGCACGGGATGGTACGACCTTGGTACACGGCGTACACGGCTAAGTCAATAAACTGGGTGACGCAACTCACTAGCGCGTTGGATCGACGGAGAGCACCGATACTCGGCACGCTCTACCGTACTCTCTCGCTCGCACACCTCCCTCCCATAGACCACAGAAATTCCTCGGCACCCGTCAACACCGACAGAGAGCACAGATACCGCGGCTCGCTCCCGTTCGACCGCTCCGACCATCTCCGACACTGTTCGGCACGCGTCGGCACCGACGGAGAGCACTGATACCGCGGCTCGCTTTACCGCTCTTGTTCATTTATGATGTTCATATTCCCCAAATAAGTATCATGTTTAACTAATTTGTTTAAGCGACATGTTCCTTTTAAAGATTTAGCTCTCCAGTATAAATCCGTAAGACCGTTATTTATTATTCATTTCACAAAATAATTGCAAATATGAAACTTCTTTATCTCTTCTTGAACATTCTAATTTCATAGCCCTAAACTGGGTACCTGAAAGTATCATAAGTTCATTGAATTTGTGTAAAAGATTTTACTACTTCCTAAAAAGACTGGATAGGACTCGGCTTGACTCGGCTGCTGCGTCTGTTCATTGCATCCCGTTTTTACTTATTGCCAGCACGAATACACGTATTACAGATGAATCTTCATACTATACATATAGATTTCCTCGAAAACGAAGTCTCAAATAAAAAAATGTTTTTTTTATATTTTCGACTTATTTTTTCACGTGAAGTCACCGCTTATTTAGTTGTATCACCAGTTACGGGCACTCTATATGTTCAAAGACCAAAATCTACAGTATTAGAAATAAATGACGTTGTTGACCCAGGTTGAGTTTTTAAAAAATACGGAAAGTGTTGTACGGCAAAGCACAACCTTCCTACGAGAAAAAAAATTAAAAATTCCGAAATAGAATTTTTAAAAAGAATGGCAAACCATTCTCAATGATGCTGGATATGTGAAGGACAAGCTAAATAAAATAATTAGTTTAAATAATTTTTGTTATTACAAATTAAACACTGGTAAGTGTAAATTAACATCACTCATTTACATCTTGAATGATCCTTAGTTCTTAATGTGTTTTACAATATTGGCATTCTCTCCATAGCAGTAACATTTGGTCAAAAACTAACTGATCTGTTACTGACTAGCAACGGAATGATTGTTCATGTGAAAACAAACAAAAAATGTAGTATGAAATTTGTTCATAACAGAATTCCATTTTTAGGAAATTGGTTTTGACAATTTGTCAGTTACACGTACAACTGAATATAACTTGGCTATTGTAACCATTTGTTTTAAAAATATAACAGGTTTTTGCAGATTACTCGTTTGTTGTGGTGTTACGAGTATTGCTGAAAATGCTCCCTCCACCCATTGTCAGATGGAGTTCTGCTCAATGAATTCAGGAAACACGAATGAGGGGGAGTTAAAAAATTTATACGCTTCTCAGTTGTACTATGAATTATGTTCCACTCTGTATATCTTTGTTAGCCCATTTTATAACTCAAAGGTATTTTATAAGAACTGGTTACTTTATATAAAAATCAAATCGTTTTATCATGAGTAACTTTCTTATGTTACAAATTAATTCGTTCATGTAACATTTTGTACATGAATCTGTATAGATATTTATAAGATAAACTATTTATAAAAGAGTCATATATTGACTATCATTCAAACTATATAGTATCAGTACAGGTCGTAATTTTTCTTTTCTCGCTTCTCGTATTTCTTCGCATATTTGTTTTATGTACTTTTTATGCCTCGCGTGTCTAAAAAGAGAAAGAAATTTCCTATATTAAAAAATTACAGTTGAGTAATTCGTGGTTATAGTAAGCGTAAAAAGTATTAAAATTATATAAAACGCTTGATTACTTTAGTAAATAAATATTATATACTTACTTATCAATAATGATCTGTATGCTTTTAATAAAATCCTGATCTTCTTCATCGATTTCTAAAAAACTTATAATGGTTCTTATTACACTCATTTCTAAGAACACTGCAAAAATTTCTATTGGAATTTTGTGTGCAATTCTCTGAAAATATGTAGACATCTGTGCAAAAATAGAATTCTTCAAACTTCTTCTGGAACTACCAGAAAGTTTATCTCTTTCAGATAAAATAAAATTAATATTAATGTTGACTGGATTATTATTACTTAAGAAATTTTCATTTGCCGCTGTTTTACTTTCCGATCTATTCAGGATGGGTATAGATGTGTCTAGTCTTTGGAGAAACTCTCCAACTTCTTGATTGGCTATTTTCTTTTCTTGAAATCTATCCCGTTCCCAACTGTGAATTCTCACACTTCCTTTTTCGCCAGGTTTTAAAATAACAACATAATTGATCGAACGGTCTGTGCAATGTTCGAGAATTTCCTCGACGAATGACAAATCCAAAACTGTAACTTTTAGTCCAAAACTCCAAAATTCTTTCAAAACATCTATCATTTCTTTTTCTCGACTAGGATTGCTCAAACAAGAAATGGCAACATCAATTCCGTATTTAATTTCCGAGGATTCTGATGTTTCCAAGACAGCAGAAACAAGTTTCTCTAAGGAGATACTAATTCCAGCTCCGTATTGTTTAGTTTCTGTGCTGGCCATTCCTGTACGTTCGAGAATTTTCCTAAAAGACGCTAGCATTCTGTCGTAACGACCACCCGCAGCTATTACTTCTTCTCCGCATTTTCTTCTACGGCGTTTAACTTCACAAGTTATTTGATAAATTGCGCCACTGTGTTGATTTATATTATGTACCAGAAGGGGTACCACTACTACTGCCCACTGAAAAGTTTTCGTTATATTTTTTAATAATATTGTTAAATTATTAAATTATAAATTAAAAGAAACAGTAACATGATAGGAGCTACTAAAAAATCATATTTCGCAAGAAATCATTTCCTTATTATTCTATGAATTAATAATTTATACGATTGAAATATAAAATTAAGTTGACAAAATTAAGGAAACGTCCTATATCCTTGAATCAACTCATTATTATGATAATTAAAGGAAATCTTGATCTGTGCTAAATGTTTTGGGTTGCAACTACTTCTATAGTAAAGCTTACCTTCACACCTAACGCTTCAATATTCTCCATTACAGTTTCCATTTCTTTTAGCCCTTCTTTAGCCAGTGTAGCAGCATCTCCTTTTCTTTTCGTTATAGTTTTTAATACACTATGAATCTTAGTAATAGAACTTTCAGTCTCAAATAAATTGAATAATGTTCCCATGGCCTGATCAGTCAAACAAAGACTTATTAAATGTGTTTGGATTTGAAATCTTGAAAATTTTCCATCACGTGCGTCTCGAAGGATTGAATAAATATCTTGATACTTTTCTTGATCAATTCCACAGTACATTAACACAGCTTTTAGCAAAGAAGTGTGATTCAAGCGAATGGTGAAATTCCGTTCTTGTAACTGTGGTAATTCGTTGATTACCTCCCAAACAATATATATTAATTCAGCTTCCATTAGTAAATTATTGGAGGTAGGACTAATTATGTCAAATGCACATTCATAAAGTTCTCGGGGATGGAAACCTCCAACCTGTAGAATTTAACACTTATTAATTATAAACAAAAAATAATATTATATTTCTTAAAAGAAACAAAGAAAAAATATTATAACTTAATTTGTATTATAAACTTAAATTGTATTGCAGTCAGTGTATGAGATTAATATATGATTTCAAATATCATAGATTCTATTATACCAAAAATAAAGGTAAATAAATAAAATCATTTTAAATATATTGAAGTACTGATAAAGGTATTAACTTAAAGAATAAATACAACTTATTGGTATTTACTCTTATAACTATCAGGTAGTGCAAAGTTAGATGACTAACCAAATTCATCAAGACGATGTGTTACAAGTAACGTCGAGAATAGAATTTTATCTATCTTCATATTCAATAATAAGATTCACTATATATTTTTCTATTGTAAAAAATGAATGTTCTTTAATATATTAATAATATAAAATGTATTTTTATTTACAGTATAAACAGGTACGAATGAATACCTTTTTTTCTCTGAAGACTCTTTCGATAGCATATCTTCTGATATGCAGAACATTATTCCATACTATATACCTTGCAAAAGGAGCACGTAAATCATGGGGGATATACACAATGTTTCCATTACGAGTCATTAATTTTACACTGGAATCTGAAAAACTACAAAACTGACGCGACTTTGGCATCAAAAGCGGCGTTTCTAAATTAACGCCTCCGTGTCTTTGAAAAATTTCAATTACTTTGCACTTTACACTTTCTTGGTATTTTTTCCAAGATAAAAAGTTTATACGGCCCCTACTAGGTAAATTCATATCATATGTAATATCGTCAGCCGGCGTGACTTCTTGCATAAAGCAACAAGAAATTAAATATTTATATGCTTTGCTCTGGTTATTAGACAGGGTGCGTCGGATCATTTCCTGTAATTCTGTTTCTTCGAGTCGTGCAGGAGGTAAATATTCTGAAGAGAGAAGTTCTTGAGCTGTGGGTCGTTGACTAGGGTCGTGGTTTAATAACCACCTGCAATTATTAAACATTTCACTTACTTTATTAAAATTGAATTATGTACAAGTCGATCAAGGAGAGTTACATAACAGTTTTTCTCAATTATTCTTTATAATGTAATCTATGCAAAATTAGAGGCGTTCAAAGAATTATTTTGTACATTTCAAATTGATTTAAAAAATACAGTCAGTTAATGTTTACGCTTTTGTTAGTAATTAAAGAAATTCTAGGCGACAAGAACTCTCAAATAATTTTAAATTGAAGAATGTTTTCTTGTATTTGAATATACTTATGATATTGAAAATGAATACTTTGCAGAACTTTGTGTAAAATAAAGGTACACATATTACAAAGTACTACAATTGAAGAATTATTTTTAAAAACTACACAGAAATTTATGAATACCTTATAAAAATTCTATAAAATTATGTACTATGAATAATAATAAAAAAGTTAATGAATGATTTTTACAGAGGAAAAATATGAAACATATGTATAGGCATACAAAATGAAAAATAGTTTCTACAATATTTACCGTAAGATATGCGTTTGTAGTTTCATATCTGCCTGTTGCATTTCTGGTGGAAGTATGATGTCTTTTGATCGTAGATTTAGTAAAATTTTAATTCGTTCCATTCCTGTTGTTAGTGGTTTATAACACATTTCAAACAATATGACTCCAAGACTGTAAATATCAACCTTTTGGTTGTAAATAGCTTTTGCTGCTTTCGTTGTAAGCTCCGGCGCTACATATAACGCAGTGCCTACTTGTCCTGTTAGAGAACCCACATCTTCGGTGCCAAAACTGATTCCTAGTGAATTACACGTGAAAATACTATCTGAATTATGAAGAAATACAAAAATCTTAAATCTTAATTCTTTAAACACTACATGGAATAAAATACTTTCATGTTTTATAATATAACGGAAATTACTACGATACAATGAAGTTATTTAAAAATATTAACTAATTTGAAACTAGACAACCTGTTTACAGATTAAAGAAAGTAGGCAAATATGGTTCTTTTTTAACTCCGATCGTTATTGGCATATAACGATTATGTACATTAAAATGTTGTTAAACATGTACTGCCACGTATGTACACATTGAAGATTACTATTATTATTCCAAATTAAAAAAAGGAAATCTTAATAATATTAATAATAAAGTAATTCGGTACGATACCGATGACATTCCCTTTTGTTTTTTAAAAATTCAGTATCTACATACGAGCAACAGACTCAACGAATTTGTTATTCATTTGCTTTTACCTTTCTCCATAGTTTGTGATTCTTTGTCAATCTCCATAGTGTGTGCAAACGATGAAAGTATGTTTGTAGTAGCTAGACCAAAGTCTCCAATTTTTACGTGATCGTTGCTATCCAAAAATATATTTACTGGCTTAAGGTCCCTGTGTATCATGCCCTGTTGATGAATATGCGCTAAACCTTCAACGATTTCACGGAATAATCTCCATACTCTTTCTTGGTCTTCATAAAGACCTCCATCGATGGCTGTTCGAAGAGTGCTCTTTTCACAGAACTCCATTTGAATGTACATGAATTGTATTTCTCTCGTTGTTTCCTTCGATTGATTTGTATCTTCATTTTCTTCTTCTTTTATGCTCGATGCAGATTCTTGATAGTTAGAATCCTTTTCGAATTCTATACTATCGGAAGTGTCTATTCTTAACAGATTCCGCATTCTGGAAAATAATTTACGATTATTATTTAAATAACAATATTGCGAAGATCAAACGATTTTTTATATTTATTTAAATAAATAAATTAAAAAATTTAAGTATATACGAGCATTTAAAAAATTTGCCGTTTTTATGATTACGCAAAATGTATTAAAAATTGTTAGAATTAAAGAAACGATTTAAATTGCAATCACTGTTTTACTATTAATTATCATTAAAAGTTGCAAATACTTCACTATACTATTTAAAAATGGTCTGTATTTTATATATCTGACTAACCATAAGTTACATTTCACTGGCTGGATCAGAGTGAGTTTCTATACTTTATTCTATGCATTATAAAGATTTTGTTGTACTTTTAATAATTTCTGTAAATTATTGCAGGTATGTACAAATGTTTGTCCTTTAGTTTTAAAGATTTTGTACATACTAATTAATATTCAGCTAATTAAGAAGACCAGTAATGAGACCAAGTCACACTTACTGAAATAGGAACGTATCATTTTACAAAAGTAGAAATAAACATAAATATCCACGTTGAATACAAATAGTATATTTACCTACTGATTCCGAGTTTCATCATATCGTTGTAATAAAACATTATACTCCATTACAAATTGTAAAACCTGATCTCATATTATTGGTCGGTAGTATATGTATATGAATGAAAGTATCACTATTTTCAATAATCTTCATCAATTATAGGCATATCTTGCAAACGAACAAAATTTGTACACCAAATATTTTTAATTGGATTTTATAAGTTTAACTAAAAGTTGACTCTTCAAAAATGATCGATTTCTTACAAGAACGCACAATCTTCATCGCTGTCCGTATCACTGGATGCATCACTGTTGTCTTCATCGCTATCCGGTGGGAGTGTGGTATTCGTACGGGATTTGTATGAAACATTCCACTCAACGTCGTGCAATGGTGGTGCCAATTTTTCGATATCGTCTGTACCCAAGTGCTAAACAAATCATTTCAAGTTAAATTAATACTTCTTTGTTTTTCGCCTTGTGTCGTTGCAAAGTTTTTTCATAAGTATTTCTGATTAAAAATTATTTTTCTACTTAATAAAGAGAACTAATTTCTTAAGTGTCAAAAATAAAAAGTGATCATAATTTATTGATAACAAAAATTGATTTAAATAATCTATAGTTATTTTTTGAAGATATCGACTTTTAAATTCTCTATAAAAAATTATTTCCGTCTGTTGCATTATTTATTATTTTAAACATGTGGAGGAGAGTATTAAGAAGGCAGTGTATATTTTCTTGTACAAGATATTGCGATTTAAATAGCATAGATTAGCTGATAAAGTATACAAACTGTCTAGTGGTGAATATAAAAGTTATTATCCGTAATTATCATGAGTCTGTACTACATGACATTAATTATTGTAGGAAGTGATATAGTAATAAAATAGCAAAGTAAAATGTATAATAAATGTACCAGATAAAGTAATAAGAATAACATTTACACTAAACAAGTCTCTGTTCTTTTTTTCCAGAGGTGTTTCACGCTCTTCTTCCGTTTCGTCGATTATGGTAGCGCTCTCTATCCAGGAATTATAATACCGCACTACGTTTTCATGATTCATGCGTGATAATAATTTGACTTCTCTAGTGATCTTCTTATTCAGCTGTTTGTTTTTTGGATTAAGCTCGATTCTTTTAATAGCGTAAACACCACCATCCAATTTATTTTTCACTTTAAGCACATCGCCAAACGCACCCTTACCAAGCCATTCAAGCACCTCAAATTCATTTGTAATCCTCGAGTGACCGCCTAAAGGGGGTACGTATTGTCGAATATCTGTGTCGGTTTCCTCAGGCTCTTGACGCTCTTGTTCGTCTCTGCGTGGTATTTTCGGAGGTGACAATGCTCGGGCTAGGGGTGCTTTTATGAAAGTGTGTTCTAACAATTGCTCGGCAGACCAGCGTTTTCGTTCATCGTTGATAAGGCACTTTTGTAAGAAATCCTGGAAATCCGGCTAAAACATTGATATAAATTTAGTAACTTAAAATGAACGTTCTTTTAAATAGTAACACATTTGACAAAATCTACGTTGAATATTTCATTTTCAATCGTTTGCCGACGAATACCACCAAATAAACAACATTAAATATTTCTTCTATAAAAAATATACAATTTTCCGTTATCAATATTTCAGCTTCTATTCTTCACAGTATTTTACGCATTGAAAATATAAAATGGAGACTAATGAAGATGAGTTAAAAATCAGAATTATTTCAGTATTATATCTTTATAGGTAACCGAATCCCTTTATACATCAGCTAAATGGTTGACAAAAAATTCTGCTTTATTTACAGATATTAAAATGGGCTTGATTATTCAACATACATACTTCATTAAGCATATTGAAAACTCTTCTAAGCGTATAAACATATGAACCTCACTTTAGAAAAATATTAGTTACTTTATAAAGTGATCTGTACAATAGAAATTTCAATTACAACAAACACATAAATACCTGATTAATAACTGTTGGATCGATTTTATCTCCAGAAGCAATAACTCCATTTAATAAGGAAAACATAAGAACACCAAAGCGATAAATATCTGCTTTCTTTCCACCTCTTCCTTGGACGCTGGGAAAATCTTGTTCAGGTTTCACTATTGTACATGTCTGATAAATATCAGATAATCGTTTATTAAGTGAATAATCCGACAGCTTAACCGTCCCTGTGCGATCAATGTAGATACTTGTGTCACGTAAGTCTTTGTGAACAACGTTATTGTCATGGAGGTATTTTAAAGCAGACAAGATTCCATTCGCCAGATATCGAAGAAAGTCAATATCCACAGGGATGTTCTCCAACAAGAAGAACGAACAGCTAGTACCTATCTAACATTGAATGGTTGACGCTCAAAATTCTCTTTTTCGTTTTTACGAAAAGTTTAACATAAGTAACGTAATTAGAAGAAATTTAATATAAATAACGTTAATACAACATTGCCCTGTTATGTGTCGTACTGTCTACTTTGTTAACCCACCGGCAGGCGTGTACGACGTGCACTCAGTACACGAAGATCTGTTTATAGGAAAAAAAAACCGTTTTACCGTGTTGGATTGTACCCAGCATCTTTACGTACTCTTCCAAAGGATATTTTTACATCATATTACATATCGCTCAAGTTCGACATTCAAATTCCAATCGATTATTTCAAATACGATTTGTTTTTTAATTTCTTTCCAAAAAAGATCTTAACTTATTTATCAGGTATACAGACAGTGAGCGAAGCAAATAATAAATTTATTATTTTATAGTTAGGTTTCGGGTTATCGTTTCGTACGTTCTCTTCAATAGCAAATTGACGAATTATATAAACTTTGGCGTTTCGGAAGGGTGACACATAAAGTGAATTTCGACGATTCTTAGGAACCAATATAAAAATCGTCTTGCACTTGACTAAAGATTAGGAAGGTTGCGTGAGAAATACTATTTATGAAAAATGTCAAAAATACATTCAGGAGTTTGACTAAATCATTTCGAAGTTATTACTCAACATAGAAGTGAATTTCTAATGTTCGATATTCGAGTCAAGGTTCATTATTACTTTAAGACTAAATAGAATTTATTCAACTAATGGATCTAAAGATAAATATTTATTTCATACTGTTCAAATAATACCCAATTCTGATTACACTGTCAGACGAATTAAACGCAAATTATACACTGGGAGATTCTTATAGAGTTTCTCATCCAGATCACGAATCCGGAAGGAAAATGTCTCCACCTCCTTCAGTTCTTGAAAAACATGAGTTTTTGTAAAAACGAACGATTTTGGGCAAAAATGACGTATTACATGAAAACTAAAAGCGCTAGAATTATTTGAGTTTTATGCAAACTTATGAAAGATAGATTACATACTTGAATTCAGTTTTTTCGGACCACGGTCAACCGCGGATATTGAATCCGCGGATACAGGAGTCCTACTGTATATGAAAATTACGTATTTGAAGTATATTATATCTCTGAATGAATATTTTGTAAAAATTTGACAGTTAAATCAAAAGATCAAAATATTAATTCTTCGTATACGGAGTACACGCACTACAGTAAATCCTCGATGAGTGTTCGAAAGCACCTCGGTACTAACAAGGAGAGGTCCCCAGGTGTAACGGTGACTTTTTAATGAGGTTTAACACAGCGATAGAGCTCGGAATTCTGAAGTCAATGATTATTTGTTTCAGCCGCATATGGCCATTAGTTTATGAAATATTTAATGTTCAGTATCGAGGAGCCTTCGAACACTAATCGAGGATTTACTGTACTATGCTCGCGCGACTCTGATGTGCACGCTCGGTGGCGGGTTAATTGTTACGTCGTTATCCTTACTACCATTGTAGTATACATTGTGGTAAGTAAGCCAGAAACTGATAATTGAAATCAATTTTTAGATTACCTATTTTTCTCGGTAGCTATCGTGATATGATCTCTACTCTGTGGCAATTAGTAAGGTATTACAGTATTCTCATTATTATGCAAAGATAACTAATATTAGAAATATTACTGTTTCTATTTATTACAAATTGCAACTTTTGCAAGTAAAAGCACAACAATGCTACTTTCTATTCCTTGGAAAATTTCAGTACGAACTTACCACAAATTCTTGGAGGATATAAACAAGTGCATCGTCGCCATCTTGCAGGTATTTCATGTTCAGATACTGCACAAGGTTCGGATGGTGTAATTTATGCAAATGATTTATTTCTTGCTCGAGGCTTCCTATTTGTTTGGTAATGTGCTGCACATTGTTTTCATCGATTGTGTTATTTATTTTGAACGTCCATTCGCTAATTGCGAACAATTCACCAGTTGTCATATCCACACCCGCGTAAACAACTGACCCTTTAGTACTGTGACCCATACATTTTCCTCTATACACTTGACGTTCGTCTGTAAAAAACAGACATTGTAAATGTCAGTTTGAACTTTAATCAATTATTTATGTTCCACTAAAACAGTTTAAGTGATCTAAAAATTTAAGTCTTATTACTAATTTCACTTGTATGCAAAAGTTGCCCTATTAATTGTCGATAAATACACTGTGAATATAAAATTATTATACAAAAACAGTTGCTCCATCTACTGTTACAACTGCAGTATTATTTTCTTTCGATTGTGATTATCAGACTAAATAATGCGTTAAAGTAATACTGAAAGTGATTAGTTTTCGAAAGCATTTGAATTGTGGAAACTGGTAAGAAATTATATTGTTTGTGACCTACTATGTTATGTCTACAGTGCGTTAGATTGGTTGAAAGGGAAGTTACAAAACATACACGGATATTCTGCATCTTCATACTGAGAAAAAGTTTTGCATAATATAACACTTCTATATTATATTTTTTATATTACAGAGATGTAATGAATGAAAATTCAATCTTATATTTTCTTTTCTTTAAACCATCTTCTGTTGAATCAACATATGTTCAATATTTACAATGAAGTAAAGTCACAGGTAAAAATGGATGTATTTCAAAAATAAAAAGTTTGTAGACTTATATTTATTAGCATTACTTTTGTAACGTCTGAGTAATAAATATATCTGTAAATTTTGTAAATTTCCTGAGGCTCCTTATAAAAACTATTTTAAGTTTGTTTAAGCAAATATTTTTTCTGTTAGTTTTGCAAATAATTTCAATTTTCACTATTCTTTGGTGTAGTTACAATACTGTTGTAACAGATATATCTTTCTGAATAAATACAGAAGCTTCAGAAATAATTTAGAATGCATTAGTGATAGTTGTATATATTTACGTACAATATTTTAGCAACAGAATGAAATCATGAATACATCTTTTTATTTAACTTTGAATTTGAATCTTTTGTTTAAATAAAATGTAGCAAATAATCATTATAAATTGTACACCTTTAGTATGATCGAAGTGCAGTAATTTCGTGCCCTTATGCTCGCATAAGAAACCATCAGAACTTTCCGAACTACTAGCGCATCTCCTTCGAGAATAAGTCCGTGATCTCTCTTGCGGAGATGACGGTATTGATTGGGATGGATTGTCTGATCGATTATTACACAAGCGAATAGATTCTTTTCGGTTACGAATTTCAGCTTTTAGAGCTTCTTGTCTTTTTTGAATTTCATCCTGCAATACCTGCAATTTTTCTTTTATTATTGATCAAATTTTGCAAATCATGCGTATATATTTTCGAAATATACGTGGAGTCACAACTTCAATTAACTTTGCTGGGTAAAAATCATAATTAAGGTATAAATGAAAATTAAAGTCTCTAAAAACTTCAGTCTACAATTATCAAAGCATAAACTGGCGATTTAGTTGCCGTTTAAATAATATTAGTTATACTGTAAATTGTATTTTTTAACCTGTCTCTCTTTATCTTCTTTCAGCTGTTTTTCCACCATTTCAAGTTCAATTTTTTCTTGACGCCTTGAAACCATTTCTTCATAAAAGCTGCTATAACGTGGCTTGTTGTTTTCGTGCAGATATTTCTGTACATGTTGGGCTAATTCAAAGATCATTACTTCTCCTCGTAATCGTGTGGTGAGATCCACTAATGCGGAATATAATACTGCAACCTGTTCATTTGATAATCCTCTACTGTTCTTGAGTTCTATATTTGGGACTCTGTAATTTACGAAATAAACATAAAAGAGGTTTCCAACACGTTTCTTGTCCTACAATAATGTTGAATGTAACTGTGTGTCTTGATTTTTTTGATGAAATACTATACACGACGATTGTCAAATTCATATTTGTATATTAAGAGATGAATGTAGAGAAAGAAAGAAAGTTGCTACATAAGCGTGTAGTATTCACGTGTGGTCTTTTATTTAAAAAATCTTTTTCAATAAATTAAATAACATATTCAAAATTTTCAGTAAACATAATAGGAAAGTGTAATTGCGAAGGAAAAGAACTGCAAAAAGGTACTTACTCATTAGGATACTTATCGCTACAAGCAACGTGTAAATCAATTTGCGCGTATACTTCAGCCGGACCTGACATGCCTCTTTGGGGTATTAAAGTTACCGAGATATCTAACGGCTGCCATCTCCGTTTATTTTTTCCACGCCGTAAATCACGGAGTTCATCTCCAAAAATACTCTGCATAACAAAAAACATTGTTTTTCGTTTTCTAACTATAAAATTATTTAGTAATTTACGTTACAAAAATTTTATGCAATAAGTATTATAAGCTAATTTTTTTAATTCGAACGCTTTAAATGCTTTCCAAAAACGTATTTATGAACAGAAATTTTCAGTAAATATCGAAATGGAAATACAACAATAGTAGCTCGACATTTATAATTCTGAACTCGAAGAAAAAAGTTTGATAAAACTTACGAATACCGAAGAACAGGAAATTTATTATTAAAATATGAATGACCATAGAATCTAGCACGTAAACATTGACGAAGGTAACACTCCTAATTTAATGGTGAAAGCAATTTATCGATTTCGAATACACTCTCGGAACATAATTATACAAAAATCGACCGTTTACATATAATCATACATAAATTTATCATGTAACCAAATATTCTCTAAAATAATGTTATAGTGTCAATTATTAACAATTTTGTGACTACCAAATTTTATGAACCGTTTGCAAAAAATTGTTCCTAATAACTCAGTTGATATAAAAAAGGACAGTTCATAGGTATTAATTAAAAAGTAATTCTTTCAAAAATGTTCGACACGTATTTTTTTTCTTGAGCAAACGTCCATATCATAAAGAAAACAGTCCTTGATGTAGTATTTGTCTTGCATTGGAAAATATTGCAACAAGAGATAACGGTAAAATTGTAAAATTGTATCTTTGGACAGTGAATGTAATCAAATGAAATATAGTATATATTTTTTTAAATATAATAAAATACACTTTTACTACAGTGCAAAAAATGGAGATTTCATTTTATCCATATTTTATATTCTGTATTTACATGCATAATTTAAGTAAAAATAGATCAGGATTTTACTAAAACTTATCATTTTCAATTATTTTTTTAACGTGTTCAAATCATAATGTCGATAAAAAATACATTTATAAAATATCTTTATAAAAACTAATGTTTACAATAGTATCACATGAAGTTAAAACGGTAAGTATTTGATATTTGTTCATTACATAGAATCAGTGGTTGGCCTTAGTTTTCGAGATATTCGCAAAAAACTTTCGGTACCACTACAGTGAAGGTAAAACTGTTGCTTAGGGAACCCAACTCATATGTTGTTAACGTCACCCTCCTGAGCCACCTTAAGCAGGATCTAGCCATCAATCGTTGTTTGTTAAAAAGTTATTAACAAAAAAAGATTTGTCTGTGTATTCGCCCCGGCAATAAGTAGAAACAGAGTGTACTGAACAGACGCGTTAGCCATGTCACCACCAAAGTGGTACCAGGAGATTTTGTGAATATTTCGGAAACTAGGACCATCCGCCGATTATATGTAAGCAAAAAGTTGTTCAGAATCATGCCCCTGACAACATATTCAAAAATCATTGCAATCATTCTATGTTGGTACATCAAATAAGCCTCCACGTACTTATTCTTTATGAAACTTTTATAATCTTTTGAAGAATATCAGAAAACTGTTATTAATATGTGTGTTTTTCCCTAGTTGATATTACGTCAAATGTATATTACTGTTTATAACTACATGTTGCCGTATTGGGCCTCTAAGGAGGGATGCTGAATAGCTAAATTGAACATCGTACATACAGTAAGCAAAATTTCTATAAGAACACTATGATTTACTAAGAAAAATTAATGTATTCCATAAATTTTTACTAGCCTTACAAACACTACAATGTCTTTATTATGGCACGGATTCTGTAAACAAACTCTGAGTCTTCTGTTGGTTGTTTATAAAAACAATCACTCGCAGGCCGAAGTCAGTGCGTAATTTCTATAAGAACGGTTACATATATTTAGTTCTGTCTCAACATTTGTACAAGAAATATTTGAGAGAGTCAGTGTTTTCAGTGTTATAATATCGTAGTTGTTAAATATGTACAGTAATATTTTAAACAATTCCTCTTAAACGAAAATGACACGAGGAAAAGTTTTAACATCGAAAAAACAAGCAAAAACGGCAGCACATCGCGATGCAAGCTTATCTATCTGGGAGATCTCTATGAAAATGAATAGATCCATTACTTGCATTCACAATTATTTAAAAATACATGAAAAGTACAGTAAAAACCACTATACAAGTGGTAATGCTAAATTAACAAGACGTGACCGTTCACGAATATTTAAAGAAATTACTACTGGAAATAAAACTACAGTAAAATGACAAGAACTTTGGATTTCCCGGTGACCACATGACGTCTGCAACAAATATTGCAGCAAGATAAAAGATTGAAGTGGACGAAAAAATCGTTGAAACCACCTCTTACGCAGGAGCATAAAAGAACAAGATTGGAATTCGCATGAAACCACATGACCTGGCATGAGAAATGGAAAAATGTAATATTTTCTAATGAGAAAAAAATTTATTTGGACGGTTTGGATTTTTTATTAGAAACAGTAGGTACCTATTCTTATAAAAATTTCGTCCACTGTAGTAGGATTAAAGTGGTAAGTTCACATGTGATTTCCGTAGCTCACAACATTCTCCAACTAGTCATCAATCTTTTTTAATGCCAATTGAGGATTTACTTTCTGATTATCAGTTAATGAAGATGGTAAACAAGACACATCGAAAGTAAATAAAATGGAGCACTATAATAGTGAATGACCCATCGGATAACTGTCGGTATTTCGTAATTATGTGTCGACCGAAACGGCGAATTTTCCAATTCGCTATTAGCGGAATTTTCGCGATCAAAATAAAACCAAAACATTTTACATATGTTAATTTTATGTAACTTCGAAAATTGTTTATAAACTTTCTATTGAATTTTAGATTAAACCAGGAAAGGAACATTACTTTTTTATAACTTATGTAAAGGTGTAGTGGAAAGTCAAAAATAATTTTAATACAGTTGAACAGAGTTTTTATGTTAGTTTAAGTTTAAAACTAATATAAGATTCTTCATAGAGGAAATAAAATTCTACTTAATTTCCATTTTTGTAAATTACTTCCTCAAAATATGAATTTGTGTAAATAGCATAATGCTATAGTATTTACTCTTGTAACAATAATTTAAGAATGTACACTAATATCTAACCATCTACGAGACCTATATGGTTAAGTGTATATACATATATATAAATACATATATAGATTAAGCAAGTGTAACCACTGAATTTTTATATTTTTATATTAATATAGTTCAACAATTGTAATAAAAACTATAATGTTTGTTCCAAGTAATAACATAAAAAATTTCAACATTTCAGTAATGGAAAATTTATTTATCACACTTTGTACAAGTAAATAAATATATTGCTTGGAATATTTCAATAGACAGGTTAAACTCATAAAACAAAATAGTAACTATATCTGCATTTTAATGTCTATAATATAATTTTTATAAATTTTTGAACTCACCTTCAAGACCTCGATTTCGTTTTCCTGTCGATCTTTACAAGATTCACAGGACATATTTCTCCTAATGCATTATATCTTCATTGTCTAACCTCAACAAACACCAATATATAGCTTCGGATAACTGCGTTTAACTCATTATTTGACACTTAACCTTACGTTTTATCAATCCATCGATGATTTAGAATTCCAATTTACACAACTATTTCACTATCTTCAAAGTTTTGCACATGATAATCAATTAAGGATATTTAATTTTGTGTATTAAGATTAATTTCACAAGTTTATTATTTAATTCCATAATTTATGAAGTCGTAAATAATACTCGAGGCTAATATTATTTTTTTAATTATTTATACAAGTGTTTGCCTAAATAAAGCTTTTTATATGTAAGAAAAGTTTCTAAGCAGTTCATAAAAATAAATAAGTATGCGGTTTTGTACAAATGATCTACGCAGCGGTACAGCTACAGAAAACTAAATATGTGTGAAGTGTGTGCACAACATGTATCGAAACTTGTCAAATTCAAATGGCGGGAATTTTAAATTCTAATTAGTAATGTTAATATACTGTACTGATGACTGTAACATTTAGTATCTAAAATTATTATGTATTATTGAATTACTCTAAAAATAATGTATCGATATTATATGAATATATTTACAAAAATAAACTTTATAACAAAATTAATATTGTCAAAGGCACATTTTTTCAAACTATGTATTGAGTTTCTATATATTTGAAAATTACATGAATGATGATCATTTTGAGTGCTTATTCAACGTTAATTGCACATTTAAAAAATGAACGTTAATAGTATGCTGGGAAAATAAAAATTTCAAATTTTATGAAAATTCTTGTTACAAATTTTAAAACATGTTTGAAATATAGCAAAACATTATATAAGTGACATCTTTGAATTAACACCAATGTTACAAATACTCTATTTGATACTAGTTATCAATGGCTAAACCTGACGTAACATAACCTATATTTTTATCTACGTTTAAATGGTTATATTGTGTGTCAAACTAGAAATAGTCCTTGGCAGCAATTTTTGGACGAAGTAATTTTTAAATAGTTTCAAAATTTAAAATCCTATTTTTTGAACAGTCAAGTATAAATATTCAACTTTGTTTTACATTGCAACACGAATGTGTCATTATAGTGTGTTGGCAAAATCTGGATAGCAACTGTGTGCATATAATTGTATATTTCGTTTGTGTAAAAGTGAAATAGTGGTAGCAAAATGGTTCTCGCGGAATTAGGTCGAAAAATTACATCCGCATTACGTTCTTTAAGTAATGCAACTGTTATCAATGAAGAAGTAAGTATTCGTTTGTGAACATAACCTAAAACATGATTTTGACATACAGAGTAATGAAAACATTTCGACGTTATGACTGGCTTCATTGTTTTGTAATTTAATTACCTGTATATGAAGCAATATTATGCTTTTCATGATAAATGTTTAATCTAATTGTAAAAAATATAGCTTTTATTTAAGTTCTTTATAAATATTTTAATAAATATATACAATAAGAAATATTAAATGACTTTTCATCTCATTACCCCATAATAAAAATGATCAGTCAGTATTTAAAAAATGACAGTCCATAAATTACGTATAAAGTACATATATAATTTATTATTCAATGATATCACTATTTTGGTTCAACATATGTTTACAGTTGGACATAATACATAGTTAACTAACATTTAATTTAAATAACATAATCATTTAAGATTATCTTCATGAAAGGTAAAACTGTGTTTAATAATTAAAACTGTTTAAATCTTATTAAAAAACAATGTGAAATTAACATTGTGACATATACCTGTTACTTATTTACCAAATCTACATTCTTGAGTGAAATGTAAATAGATATGCAATTAGTAGTCTCAGTTATGCATTATTTGTAACATGCTTCAATTATACTTTCAATGAAGATTAGTAATGACCGTTATGACAATCATGTTGTAAAATTAATTATTTTACTTGCTTAAGTAAAATTTATTCATTTTATTTATAGGTTCTCAATTCTATGTTAAAAGAAATATGTGCTGCATTGCTAGAGGCAGATGTTAACATAAGACTTGTCAAGAAATTAAGGGAAAATGTCCGTGTTGTTATTGATTTCGACGACATGGCAGGAGGTCTCAATAAGAGGCGAATGATACAGAGTGCTGTTTTTAAAGAACTTGTAAAGGTAACAGTAATATACTCTTTATCATTTAAAATGTGCAAAAAGATTTTTGTATTTCATTATTCTCATACTAAAAATTTCATGCAAGTTATAAATAAGTTATTACATAAGTTTTATGTAAATTATAAATAAGTCATATAAGTAATAATCATGATTGACATTGGTTTCACAAAGGCAGGAAATCAACTAAATTAAAATTAATTAAAATTGATGTAGTTGAACTTTTTATTTTATGTTTCTGACTACATCATGCAATATGGTAATGCGTAATTAATATTTATTTTTTCTGCTCTAGAAATAGTCTAGCAAAAGTGGTCAACACATACATTTATTAGTATATCCTGTAGCTTATATTAGCCAATTAATAAACAGAAATATCAATTACTTACACAAACATTTGTAAAAAAGGGATTGTTTAGGCTGCACTGTTGCCACTTATGATTTTTCAGAAATTTTGATGACAGGTTATAATTTCGTATAAAATTTTAAGCAATTTATCTATTTAACAATTTTTTCTGTGTCCCTTAGTTTTCAAAATATTTAACAAAATAGTTTTCTCATCCTTCAGTTTTTGTTTTAGGGGGATTATTTTTTCCCTAAACAATGAATATGGGTAGCTGTAAAAATATATTTTTGGTACGAATTGGGTGGTTCCCCTTGTAAGTAAAAAATAAACGAATATAAACCTCATACATATATAGGATCATTTTGACACTTGCGTTGCATGGAGTATTACAACCATTACCATATAATCCCCTTATATGCTCAGTAATAATTGTTAACTTTAGGATTTTTGTAACACATTAACTTTGATTGGTTATAGCTGATTGACCCAGGGGTAAAAGCTTATCAGCCTGTAAAGGGACGGCCAAATATTATTATGTTTGTTGGTTTGCAAGGTTCAGGAAAAACTACTACTTGCACAAAGCTTGCATACCATTACCTTAAGAAAAATTGGAAAGCATGTTTAGTTTGTGCAGATACATTCCGTGCTGGTGCTTATGATCAAATAAAACAAAATGCAACGAAAGCTAGAATTCCATTTTATGGAAGGTTAGTTACAACTACAATTTATTACATTTACTACTGTAATGTATATTTGATACAATGTATATATCTAATTTTATGTGAGACTAATTGAAGAATATGAATATTGTATTTACAAGTGTAAAAATTATTTCTTTAGCTACACAGAAGTAGATCCAGTAGCAATAGCACAGGAAGGTGTTGAAATGTTTAAAAAAGAAGGTTACGAAATCATTATCGTCGATACAAGTGGTAGACACAAGCAGGAAGAATCTCTGTTTGAGGAAATGCTTCAAGTTTCCAATGCAATCGTAAGTGATTTTATAGTTATCAATATCTATTAGTATTTATTAACTCGTTCAGCCCCGAATGTTTTCGCGGCGTGCATATCCTACATCTGCATACCGATGTACATAGTATTATTTTTGTTGAAGAAAATATAAAACAATAACGATGTATGTAATGGAAGTTCAAAGTTATATGGCGAAGGTATTACGTGTTTAATACTACTCGACAGTATACTTGAATTGGAACTGCACCCTTATATAAATTGATACGAAATCTCAAAAGTCTTTCTTGCTAAGTAAAACGCACGAAACGTAATGCTTAAAAAGTCGTTCCTTTTTATATTCTATGTATAACTCGAGAAGCTACTCGAATTAGTGATTTTGGCATCTAGACTTCAAAGTTTGCAGAATTTCGCATTGATATTTTAACCACTAATGCAATATGAAATTTTTCTTACTTTTTATGTTCTATCTGTAGAACGCGTATGATATCATTATAAATATATTTTAAAAATATTATGAAAAAAAAAATAGTCGAAAAGTAAGAATTCATTTTTTTTGTTTGTGGTTTTCTTTTCGAGAAAATCGAATTTGAAACATATAGTAAGTAAAAACAGAATGGAATGAATAGACGCGCTAAGCAGTCGTATTTATTTTTTCGATTTATTTTTGCATGTAGTATCACTATTTAGCTGGTTGTACTACGAAAAGATGAAAATTTTATTTTGTACGAGTGACTATCGCGTTCATACGTCCATTAATAACACTCTGCACAGCTAAGAAACGTTCAATGAGCTTCTTACTAGTACTTAATTTCATTCACATTTAGTGTATCTTATTTATTATTACTCTTACCGAATGGTGAGCACAAAGTGAAGTTTAAACGTATAATAAAAAGAAGGTCATTATTCGATTTGATGGAAATTTATAGTTGCATACTACCGTCGATTTAGTTTATTATCTTAATATTTTAGTAAAGAAATTATATTTAATAAATATTTCGTCACTTGTATTTTAACATTTTTGTGTAACTTTATTCAAGTTCTAAATAGTTTTTATGCATATTTTAGATAAGAATTTAAAAAACCAAATTGTTTTTAGCAACCAGACAATATAATCTTCGTGATGGACGCGACAATAGGTCAAGCTTGTGAAGCTCAAGCAAAAGCTTTCAAAGAACGCGTTAATGTTGGTTCTATCATCATTACAAAACTTGACGGTCACGCAAAGGGTGGAGGTGCACTTTCAGCGTAAGTTTAAATGATTTTTAAATATGATTCTAATTAAGAAAAATTCTTAATTGACATTATTTATATTTCTATATATTTATAAGTTCGTGGATGTTCGTTTAGAAGAAAACGTTTATTTAATTTATAGATGAAACATACTTTGTCAGATTTAAAAAAAATTTGTTTTTTAATGACCAAATTGTAGTTTCAATAAAATTTTCATTCTAATAAACTTACATAAACGTAAATCAGTTGATTGATTACTAAATTATTATTAATTCTCGAAGTTTATCATATTATGGAAGTATATTTCTACAGGGTTGCTGCAACAGAAAGTCCAGTAATTTTTGTAGGCACAGGGGAACACATAGATGACCTAGAGCCTTTCAAAACAAAACCTTTTATCAGTAAACTATTGGGTATGGGTGATATAGAAGGTCTTATAGACAAAGTAAATGAGTTAAATCTCGATGACAATGAAGAATTACTTGAAAAAATTAAACATGGTCAATTCACTTTGAGGGATATGTATGAACAGTTTCAAAATATTATGAAAATGGGTCCATTTTCTCAACTGATGGTGAGCTTTATTTACTTATACAGTAAATTTGTATACAATTCACATTTTTTCAAAATATTTCATACTAATTAATTCTATTAACACTTTGCCGGCCGCACTGCTTTTAAACATTTCTTCGCTTGGCGCCGGCACCACTAACCACTGTGGTGTCGCCGCCCGCCGAGCGATACTTTGTGAAGGTCACCACTGTGGTGTCGCCGGACGTCATAGTGTCAATATCAGACCTTGTTGTCTGACATTCTAATATTATGATATCATATAACATGTACAGACTGTATAATATGATGTGATTATTTTAAATATGAATACTATTTATTGTTAAAATAAGGAAATCCTGGATGTACAATTATTCATTCAAATGATTTCAAATTAAACGAAAACAAAAATCTTTTAAATAGGGGATGATTCCTGGCTTCAGTCAAGATTTTATGTCAAAAGGTACAGAACAAGAGTCGATGGCAAGGTTAAAACGGTTGATGACCATTATGGACAGTATGAATGATTCTGGTAAATATTGTTTTCCTATTAAGTTACTGTTGTACTTTCGTAAATCTGTTTAAAATTTTACTTATGCTTATTTGTTCACATCGTACTCCTTAAGAGGTTGTTAATGTTACTTAATATTTGTAGAATTGGACAATAGAGATGGCGCAAAATTGTTCAGTAAACAACCAGGCAGAATAGTAAGAGTAGCCCAAGGTTCAGGAGTAATAGAAAAAGAAGTTAAAGATTTAATTACACAGTATACGAAATTCGCTGCTGTTGTTAAGAAAATGGGTGGTATTAAAGGCTTATTTAAAGCGGGAGATATGACGAAAAATGTAAATTCCACACAAATGGCGAAATTAAATCATCAAATGGCAAAAATGATGGACCCAAGAGTTTTACACCAAATGGGTGAGTCATTTACTATCAAATCGTCTCTCTACTACCAAACAGTTTTAAAATACTTTTCTTACTGTTTAGAATTCTGAAGATTATATTCTAGATAACGTATTTGTCGAGGTGATTCTCAAGTTTTTAAATTGTCGGTCGGGTGCTCTTTCGTACTCATTAGGGTAATATAATATTTAAAAAACCTAAACAAATTAATAAAGATATGATAAATTACAATTTTATGTCGCTGTGCCTAAAAAGTATTACGCGTATACACGACCTAATCGTCAATACTATTCAGATTGAAGAAACGAATTATGGGGTCAGTAATCTTTTTGGAAACTATATTAGGGGGTTTGAATATGATGATGTTAATGCGAAATTAGGATGGTTTAACACTAACCGTACCACGGCCGGTCAGTAGATCGGTTTTAAATACGGTGCGAATAGATATATAAAAGTCTCTATACGGTTAATGTAAAGTCATCGTTTTGATCGTTTCGAAGAAGTTTAAGGAATATAAATCGTGTAAGTTTGTACCTTTAGCCAAAAGGTACTTTTACTTGTAAATGGCTGACCCTTTCGATTAAATTTATGCTTTAGCGGAGAAAGTATTTTTACAATACAAAAATTGTAAACAAAGTTTTATTTTGCAAAGTTCCTATCGAAGTCGATTTCTTGAAGTCTTTTCTGCAAAATACTATTTGCTCAAAACGGTATCTTAGTTGTATAATGCTATATTACAGCTATTAAGTGCTGTTGCGCGGCTTCGCGCAGGTAGTTGACCCTCACGTTCAGATACTACGATCGGCTGATTATGGCACAAACATACAAGCCATATGATTTGAGTGAACTCTTTAAATGAAACAAGAAGGTTCCAAAGTCTGTACCCCGTATACATACAGCTTCCCTTGTAACTGTGGTATAAGTCCTGGAACCGATATAGTGAGGTTGTAAATTAAATCGTTAAGTAGGGTCACGATAGATGTAGTTGCATCCAGGGCTGTGTACGTATCTTATTGATGTAGTACCTTGAATGTCAGACTGTAAAAGTCATATGTGAAAATATCTCTTTACAATCTTTCATTAAAATTGAACGATATTATGTCCTCATCGTCTCTTGGTCGTTAACAGTTGTTGTACTAGTAAAAATTACTCTGCAATTGTTAAGGATTAGGACGCATACTGTTTCAGTGCACGGCCTTGAACGAGGTTCGAACTTCTTATCTCCCCCTAATTGCTGTTTCGATGCTCGGAACATGTAAACTTTCGACTTTGAACAGTTTTTACGACCCCACTATGTATATCGGTTCCAGAACCGATACCCTCCCCTTGTACAGCTACGATATGTAGTAGCCCCTCCACGTTACTACCGTTTCACTGCTTCTGGAGCAACATTGTGTTACACGGGAGTTATTTAAATGTTTTATAATTCAAACTAAACTACGTTGGTTGCAATACATATACATTAATAGTTTCAAAATTGGAATAATTAGAATTTCCATCTTTATAAACAATCTTTATGTACGGAAGAAACGATATCCGTAGAGAGGAAAATAATTTTTCTATTGGAAATTCTTTCTATGTTTGAAAGTAGTTATTACATTCGTACATAAAAATTAATGTCATATAAGCAGGTCAAATATGAGATGTAAAGTTCGTATAAATTTGAAAACTAAAAAATTTATGTTACATTTGTGTATTTAGTGCAAAAAATGTATCAAACAAAAGATTTATTATAAAGATATTTACTTGATCTGTTTTGTTTGTTTTGATTCACTCGATTGTATTTGCTTAAAAAAATTTATTTGTTTCCTCTAATGGTTTAAATATTTTTTAGGTGGTATGCCAGGATTACAAAACATTATGAAGCAACTTCAGCAAGGAGCAGCGGGAGGACTTGGTAACTTAATGGGTGGTTTTGGTGGAAAATCGTGAAAAAAGGTTAATCGAGCGGATACACTCTCAGTCTCTGATATAAATCTTCATAACACAACATCGTTGAGAAGTGAAGGAGAGCAAGGGACTTCGAAGCATTAACTTCCAACGAGAATGATCTCTTGAAGAGAATGATACAAATTTAGGAGAAATTTTATGTTTACGGATTTTTCTCAACGCGAAAGAAAAAAATAAAAAATGATTTTATGTACCATATGTACGCTTTTCACAGTTTTTCCGTATTACCTTTGTAAACTTATTTCCTTTTACGTTCAGCATCTTTTTTTGTATATACATATGCCGCTTTAATACTATTTTATTACCTATATCTTCCTATTATTAGATGTCAATGAGATGAAAATATGTATGTAGGTACGTACCAATAAATGAAACTTATTTTTATTTTTCATTGTTTATCCTTATCATTGCAATTTGTTAACTTGCTACGTCTTCTCCTTTTGTATAAAATTTTTTTAATACAACTTGATCATTAACGAATCGTTTATTTACTAAAACAAATTGATATTGTTTGAGTATAGTTGTTGTTAATTCGAATACCAAATTTCCATAGTTAATGTTGCTAAAGAAGAATTCAAACTTTTCACGGGTTATTTTAGTACCATTTTTGAATCCCATTTGATATTGTGACAAAGGAGGGAATTTCCAGTGTTACCTCACAAGGGGAGACTCGACTGTACCACCCCGATTCCAATAAAATTGTGCAGGGTGGTAGGGATGCCTGTGTACGAAAAAAAAATTATTGCGTCTGTATCAAAATTAGTTTACATTCGTCGCTACTATTAAACTGCTACAAAATAAAAAAATTTGCAATTTGCTTAAACTTGTGTAATAAAAGTGTACGCGTTCGTAATAACAGTATTGAACATGATTTTTTGTCTCTATAAGTGAAAAAAGAAATATGTTCGGCGAGTTTTGAACCTGGGTGAAAAAGTCGCCAACTTACTACACTACCACTTCGCTATCGCTGCCATTTATAAAAATGTGTGGATGTCGGTATTTAGTTGGTTATTTAAACGATTGTTCAACTTTTGAATCCTTTTTTCTCAAAAATGTATAACCGTATAAGGTAAATATTTTTCACTGACAATTTTCATAGATGTATATCTACTACTTTGCACAATTTCAATGAAACCAGTGTGGGACAGTCAGAAGCCTCCCCTTGTTAGAATAAGACGCTTACTTTCTATGCGTTAGCTTCCGAAGACAACAGAGACCTAACAGTGACCTTTAAGAAGTACCAAGCTTTTCGAAGGTTACACGAACCCTCCGAGGAATTTCAAGGTTCACCAAAGAGCAAAGGTTACGGATGGCGAAGAATGACCGAAGGTGGTCAAGAGAAAGCCCTGGAGCCTACACGCTAGACAGAGAATAACAAATCCGGAACGGTGATCAAGAAAATCATTACATATGTTTTAAAAACACCATTCTTATGCTACGTACCGTTCAAGATGTGTGATTACTTATTGCGCGAATACCTGAAGTGTTATACCATCTTCACCCCCTACTGTTTTTACGGCTTCACTTTCTAGGGTGTGTCGCATGATTGGCGTGGATCGTACATTCATTTTGTCCGAAAATAAATGCAGATAATAAAAGGTATAGATTTACTTTTCTGGCCGTATTAAATACTCCTTTCCTTAAGTGCATCGACACATTTGCGAAGTGGAATTATGTCTTTCTTAGACAGAACTATATGTTGTTGCGAGTTAATCGATTCTCTTCTTTTTGCCCATAGAATTATTGAATTACATTGAATATTAAATACTTAATACAGTAAAATTGCAAAATTTCTGGTTGGACATGTACTTTATTTGCTGTGAGATTCAAGTATTTCAATTTTTTTAAAATTGCGATACAATGATGAACATTTCCAAACAGAAATTCGAATAAATAATTTTTCGATATCTCATCTCCTTTGAGAAACTTGTGTAATAGATTACGCACGTGATTCACGTTACATGTGGACATATATGACGATTCCTTTTTTTCACTTTTCCCACTTCTTTCACTCCCACACACGCATACACAAAAGCATGCATCATCCAATAAACATTTGCTTATGACCCGCATACCAGACCTGAGCAATGTCAGACAAAAAAAAATATTTTTAAACAACTATCCAAACAATAATTCACTTTATGCGATTAGGTATAATTTTTAAATGATTGTATGTCAATCTATTCAATAAAGCAACGATTTGTTTTTAAATTATTTTCTCGTTTTGCAAATACTTTTGCAGAGATAGATGTATACATATTCCTGTTCATATTCAACGCGTATTAACTTACCCTATAAATTCTTGAACAAATTAATCGATATAATTAAAAATTATATCCGTATAATATAGTTCAATAATACTTTTTATTATACTAATTTTTTGTTTTTGTAATTAACTGGTCTCTTTATTAACACTTGTTATTACTTAATTCTTATTATTTCGAATAAGAATATATACAATAATTATTTATTATACTGTCAATACTGCATTTCCTACTTTTTACTTTAGAACTCTCTGGAATATAAACTTTCCATCTGTTTTTAGTAGCACTGATAATATTCTGCCTTTCTTAAATTTATAAAATAAAGTGTTAAGAATTTACATAAACACATTCCAAAGGTAACAGGAAACGTTTTTAATAGTTTTATTAAACTTATATACACATGCATATCTGTACTGGTGCGTAATTAAAAGAAAACTTAATTTGTAAAAAAGGTACACTTTTTATAAACAATTTATTTAACACTACAACTACTCGTGTTGAATATATGCTAAATTACATTGTACAATATACTAGGATGTATGATATGTATAATACAATATAGCATAATTAGTTTTCAGTACATAGAACACAAGAAGTCTGGAATCCATCATTTTGACGGGTTTGATAGTTCTAGTATTAACAATCTAATATGAACATATTTGAGTTTAGTAAAAGGACTTTAATTATGCTATTTCTACTTTATTAATAGATATAGTTACTGTAATACACATGTAAATGGGCTTATTAGTATAAACCACTATGATAATCGTTCGTTATAACGATTTCATAAAAGTTTTTTAAAAATTTTAAAGAAAAATTCAATCGATAATAGCAAACAAATTCAAAGAAATTCAAACAATTTCAATTTTTAATTTAATATGAAAATAGTGTAAAATAAATAGTAGTACACAGATGTGTTAATAATAGAGTAGCAATTTAATTTTATATAAAACAAAATAAATTATTTTAAAATAATTCTTCATTAAAGTATAACAGTTTCGAATAAGATGGCAAATACTACAGAATTCTTAACATTGTGAGATATCAAATTTTAACGGAGATATATGTTAACCACTCTATATTAAAGCATACCGGAAATTATTTGCAAAATTATTCTCGAATTAAAATCTAAAAATAATCAAATTGATTGAAAAACTATAAAGTTATTTCTCTAATTTTGATTGATTTAAAAATTGCGTTCGATCTAAAATATTATTATTAGAATAACGTTTATAATATAATTTTGTTCCAGTAATGTCTAGGTTTAGTTTAAACAAGCGAGAAATCAAGATTATATGATTGAATAAAGATTTATATCTATGTAGTTCAGACACGTATTCTCAATAATAATTGTCTTTATAATTAGGAGGAAGTTTCTTGGGAAGATGATCCAGAGATTGTAATCTCGATCGAACTGGTAGGGATACAACCAAAATCGGCGAATCGGTATAAGAGAGGAACGAATACTAAAGCAGCGTCAGTTTTATTGACTTTCTTTCAAGTAACACGTGGAAGAGTAAAATCCATTTAGTGAATCTTAATCGTCGCATACGAATTTATCGAGCACGTAAGTATTGTTATTCTTTATCGCAATCCACCTTCCTTTTCTATTTTTTATTATTCATAAGGAATTGTTATTAATTCAGGCTGAATCGTAATGGATTAATTTTTTAAACATTAATATTTTACCGGCTGTTTGCGTGACGCTATTTGATCATACATAAAAATCTTTTTTTTTTCATTTTAAATATTGGCGACGAAAGATATGTTTTGTGTGATATTGACTAAACTCTTTCTCAGTTCTATTATTGAGAAAATTCATAGAGTATTCTGTATGATTGATCAATATTATTAAATTCAGATTAATCTTTTCACAAATTAAAACCTCACCTTATTAAAAAAAACACCATTTTTATCTGTAATTTTATTCATAGAATACTATACATCAGAGGAAATGAATGCTTCATCATCGGAAGCAAATGTAGTATAATTTTGTTGTATTAATTTCATATATAAGATATTCATACGTAAGATCGACAAAATAAAATAATTTATTTTAGATCTTCTAAAAAGTTAAACTACTTACTCAGTCTGTGATTATTTGGTAAACATTGGTCCAGTATTTGCATGATTCTGTATTTAATTGAAATATCTTATATTTAGGCATCTTTAGAAAATTTAGCTCTATTGTATAAAGGACATCACACATATAAACTGCGTCTACATACAATTAGCCGAAATGTTCTCCAGAAATGTGTTTCCATTTATAATAATTTGAAAAACGTAATGTGTGTAATGAATACAAGGCAAACAAGAATACAGACTGAAGAGAAGAAAGCCATTGTAAATAAAAACATTGTAAACAATTATGGGAATGTGAATAAATATAAAAAATTGATTATACTATTAATACAAAGATATTGGAACGGTTGTGTAAAAGTGTGACGTTAAAGTGTGAATCAATATTAATTCACCTAAGATGTATAAGGTTATAAGATAATTTAGATTTCTGTAAACATAAAACAATGAAATAAAATTAATTTGTGTATAAAGTATAAAATACTATCGTTACGACCTTATGATACTATCAGTAACAATATAAAAATATAAGAAAATTGCAGAAACAAAATAAAGAAGTTACACATTAATTTATTTAAACAGACAAATTTCAGCAAAATTTAAATCGAATTTTGGTAATTATGTAACATATATTGTAGAATAAAATTCCGGATATAACAACAGCTTTTATTTTTCGTAGAAGACAATAACAACGTTTATAGTAACCAAACAAATATAATTCAGCGTTATCTACACCTCGTTTAATAAATATTTGACAAATTAAAATAGTATAAGTCGATCCTTTTAAAGTGCTCCTTAATTGACAAGTGGAAAAACTAAAGAATTTGAAAGAGAAAATTAATTGTGAAATTAACATTTTAATGGCATAGAGCTACTAGTTTTTTAGAAACAGTATTGCATATTCTTTTTTCTGTGCATATAGGAGTATATGTCAGTTATTTTTTTAAATGCAAAATGTGGAAGCGTATGGTTCAAAGTTCATTTTTCAGAGGATCAACAAGAAATGTGTCACTTGATTAGCCATAATATTCAAGACCACGTAAGATCATGCAAAATTTATTAATCAGCCTTGAAGACTATAAAAAGATAAGTTGCTTACATAATTAAAAAATAGAATACTTTAAAACGATAACGATAAACTTAATGTTCCTTTAGAAATAATAATATTATAAAATAATGTACATAAAAAGGCAATTCTTATTGTATCTGTATCAGCTGTAGACTTGAGTATTATTTAAATAAAAGCGTTTTAATGCAATCATCAAACTTATAAACTATCTTTCTTGTCAGAAGGATAATTGAAATTATCTTAAATAATAATTTCATTTCATTGTCTGATTAATAGCGCGTCTAAGCGACGTCCGACTATTACAGTAGATTCCGATGTTACTAGAGAACCAGAAATTGTAGTCAAACATATTTGCTGAACTAATTTTTAGTTTTGGTCATTCTCAATATACAATGGGTTCCAAATGTTTCCGGTCAAACGGTAATATCACCATATCTTTATCAAAAATATTGTGAGTCCCGTATTTGTGAGAAACAGAACATTATTTTCATGTAAGAAAATTTTTAATATCACCAAATCTGAAGAAACAATGTATCCTCGATAACAAGTGTTCATTCGTATTACATATACATTTTTAAAAAAATATGTTGAAATTACAGTTTAGCCGGAAACTTTTTGCAGCCACTGTATATGTGTGCATATCAATGATCATAGTTCTATATAACATACACCTTTAAAATTTTGAAACGGAGGTGTACGTTAGAAGGTGATTTCGCATAAAAATTCGTCAGTTTAGTGATGACAATCCGGTTTCGGCAAAGAACACGCGTCACAAAACGAACGGGACCGCGTGACTGGTTAAGAATCAACGGGCCAAGATGTTTTGTTAGAAATCGTTCGAATAATAAAAATAAGATCTCGATAGCGATTTTACGAGAGCATACTTCTTCGAAAGTGTCCCTATAAATAGTAAATCACTAATAATGTGGACGCGGGAATAAAAGCGGCTGACAGGCAGGTATAAAAGACAGGTAGAAAAGGACAAAAGGTTGTAGAGAGGCCGAGTGAAACATACTCGAGGCCAAAGAGAAGAATGACGTGAGCTCCAAAATATCGTTCTAGGAATGTAGGACATTAGAAAAGTAAAAAAATCACGCACATGCGTACTCCGCGTATATTCCTTTCTCTTTCGATCGAGACGATCCGGTCGAGATCGGGTATTTCCGGGTGATCGGTCTTCCTTTTTCCATAAATTACGGTTATTGCTTTCCACCACCTTACTCGCCCGTTCGCTTCCTCATGCCCGACACTTTCTTCGAATTAACTTATACATCCGTTATATCATTTTTTTTCTTTCGAATACGTATTTTCATTCCAGGTCTGGGCTTAAATTATTCAGAACGGAAAATCAATAATTTGGCATTTATACTCTGGAGATTACTTAGGAGAAACAAAACGGTTTTGTGCCAAAAAAATCTCTGATTTGTGGCATGATGTCTCTCTTATTATTTATCAATGAGTCTATACCGGTTGTACAGGATTAATCTGTTACATCGTATTCGTATGTTCTTCGTTCTGTCCTATTATTAAAATAATCTTCGATAACGCGATTAAATCACATTTCTTTGGAGTTGTTTACAAAGACAGGAACTCGTTGGAAATTCATTTCGTCTCCGAAAGATGTTGATGCGTTGAAAAAATAGCGGAAACATTATTACATTGGACTGCAGGTTTTATTATATTGTATTTAACATATTTATATATGCTGTAAATGCATACAATTCGCAGTCTACCCATGACTTATGAACTGGACTGTTATGAAGTAGTCTTATTAAATAGAATCTCTTGTATCATAAAATCAATAAAAGGCAATACCATATTAATTTTTTATAAATATTGATCTAGAAGAGAAAATTCTAGTAAGTGTATTTTAGTAAACGATATAATGTTTGACAATAAAATGTCAAAATAACAATGTGAAAGTTCTTTAAAACAAGCCATTTTTTCCTTTCTTGTAGGATTACAATATTAACCATATGATTCTTGAATTGTTCGTTGCTGTGATGCTTATAGGCCCATAATTTATGAAACTCGTGAAATGTGAAAATTTAACTCTCGTTTTGTTTTATTATAATCTCCCTTATATAACGTTATTAAAAAGAAAAGAAATTTCTTGTTTTACAAGAAAAAGGATAAATGGTACGCAAATATACATTTGTCTTTATCACTACAGAAAACTCGTTCCGTTTAATTATTCGAAAAACTATTAACTTGATATTAGCCGAAGATGTAACGCATAACAAATATCATAATGTAATTCCATCCTTACACGATGAAGGTGTTTTCTCTTTAAGGTTATTTCAAAATTGTTTGGATTCAATGTAACAACGTAAAAACCCAAAATAAGCAAAAGTTAAAAGAAAAAGATTGGTCAGTGCAAGCAGAGACATTGTCTAAGAATGCAAAACAAATATAACACGTATACATGTAAAAAAAGGTATTGAATTCTTCTTCCACCCGATTTTCGACGTCTGAGTGTTAATTAAACGTTGAAAGCAGAGATTGTTCGATAATGCAGCGATGCTAAATTTGACTCGTTTGAAATGCACCGTTTCACCGGGGCAACAAGTACAAGATCAAAAGGAGGAGAAGAAATATTTAAATAATTTGAAGAATCCGGATCTTTAAACCGAGGAGCTTTACGTAATAAGACTGTAAAAAAAACAGAACCATCAACAGAATTTGATGTTTCGTAAGTTCTTAAGTGCGTCACTAATCTTTCAATAAAATGTCGTCGAACAAAATGGAAATGACTTTTTTGGCTTTCTCTTCTGCTATTATTGAATAACGTCGAGAGTGACCAGTCAGGAAAGTTAACTGCTACAGCATTTCTTTACTTTTTTAAATAAATCATTTCTCTCTAATGGAATATCTTATTCGTGGTTAAACGTGGAGATTCCCAGCAAAATATTCGGCTGACTGTTATTGAGTATTCCACGCAGAGAAAATCAACATTTGTACGTTCTTAAATGAATTCTCCGAATATCCTTTTTTTTTCTTCTCTCTTTGTTAATAAGGAAGTGACATTCGAAAATTCGTGAATACGTATTAATGTCCTTGCTTTTTCATACCATCAACACTCCATTTAAGTAGTCTGCACGTATTATTAAAGGCATTAGCCTGTTCGCAACAAGTTTTGAAAACAGTGAGGAGATATACATATATTCATAAATTTATTATGGACAAACATTCAAGTAAACTACAATTAAAGTAAGAAGTTAATATAAATTTTAGAGGCTATATGTATACAGAGTGTTCCGCAATTTGTAATGCAATAAGGAGGTGATTTTACGTACAAAGCTAAATTAAAAGGGTACAATAAAATTGTTTGTACAAACATTTGTTTTTGGGAAAATTGAAATTTGTATCATTTTTTCCTTGGTTATACTGTTAATTCCGGGACGTTTTATATACTTTTGTACACTCCCATGTATAAGTATTAGGATACTTGTTTTGTTCGTAGAAAATGTAAAATTTAACACCGATATTATATTTTGCGCTGTTCACATGATCTCATATTAGTTATATACATTATGATCTCACTTAATCTTAAAATGTTGATTTTAAAACCGTAATTAAAAATGCTTCATTAGATTTACTTTACAATTGATAAGCGTTCTCATACTAACTGCAGACTGTGTAAAATACATTTTTCAAAGCAAAATATAATTTGTTGCAGATGTATACGATAGAAGTATGAAAAAGATGCTCGTCAGTCTATTAATATTAATTGTTACAATTTTTTCAACAAATGGGTATCCATCGAATCCAGCTGAATACGAACAAATAGGTTTGTATGTCTTTTATCTTATATAAGGCATGTATTCCGAATATGTTGTGATTTGGTATCTCATTATTATTTTTTATTTCCAATTAATTAAGTAAAAGTAACCCAATTTGAAGCCACCCCTTCGTCAGTATATTCAACCTGTACAAATAGAAGGAAAATGTTATATAAACGTTGATCCAAAATTAATAACTAAAAAGTTATAACAAATATATTATATTGGTACAAGTTTTCAATAACAGATTTTATGATTAATGTTATGATAAATACACAAATAAGAGTTTTTCTTATTCTTAACAGTTCTGTTCTTCCATCCATTGATCGTGTCGGTGATACTTGTTTGTTCTCTTCCACGAAAATTTATTTCAACTCGTCAATGAAAATGTGAAAACCTTTAAATATAATAACAACATAGAAATTTTTCAATACTTTTATTACTAGTTATAGTTTGAAGAAATTTGAAGAATAATTTTATTAAAACTCTGTAGGACTGAACTATATTGTAATATACGATGTGTTCCAAATTTCCACAATTATAATCATTTTTGAAAATTTCTTCGAACAACATCTAAACAGTAATAGGAAGTGTTAAAAATTTATTTATTATTACATTTAACTGTATTTTGCGTTTACAGCGATTAAATATAAATATTTATTATTGACGCAAGTTAATATAGAAATGAGTTCGAATTTTGAAACCATTGCTAAGTGTATTTTTGTTTGATTTTAATAGTAATTCCAGTCCATGAACAACAACAATTCGTTCAACAAACAATTCCTGTAGATTATTTCGATGTCGGTGACAGAGAATCAACAATACTATTGGAAGATACAGCAGACTTTACTATTTCCTGCTTAGGGCAGAACAGAATTTGTATTAAAAAGAGCGATTGTGTCAACGGCTACATTCACCTCGCTGATAATGTGACTGACTATTCAGCGTACACGGTAAAAATGTTCACTCCTGTTTCTAATTAAATTATGCTTATAACGAATTACACATTAATGATATTATCCACTAATATTATTATTATTATTAATACATACATTTATTACATACATATTATATCATTAAAAATATGTGCAATATTTTTATAGATGTGCTATGATTATTTGCCGATTTTTCCTTTTTCTTTTATTGGTTCAATTTGATACGTATTTCAACAAAGGACAAGTTAAATAAACTGGTTAATTTACGTTGGTTATATTTACGAATAAGCATGGGCGTAGTCAGGGGGCAGGGAGGGGGTCTTCCCAGAATTACAAAATTTTTGCGTAATATTTAATGTTGCAGTATAATTTGAAGCACGACCGACAGCTTCTATTGACAAAACGTATACATATTCTACGATTTATGACTTTAAAAAGAAAATAAAGTGTGTCTGGCTACGTACAGCCTTTTTCACTGTGGCAGTCGATGTGTTAATGTTTTTGCCCCCCACCCGACTGATAACCTGGCTACACCCATGCGAATAAGTCATAAAGTCATAATTACTATTCCCACTATGAAATCAATGTAACTTTAGATAAGTAGTTTTAATCAATTTCTTTCAAGTGAGAACTAACCTTTATCGATTTAGTGCTTAAATAAAAAATAAAAATTCATAGACACTATACTTTTGTCATAAATTCTTAAACAGTTTAATCTATTTACTGTTGCCTATTGTGAAATGAATTCAATTCTTTTTATCGAATGAATCACTTTTGGTATACTGAAAATAGTACTCCTTTTTTCAAGGTTTTTGCAAGGCGAACTTGATATTTTCCCCAGAATACTACACATTTGAGTTGACATTTATTTAAATCCAAGCAAGATGAATTTAACAGCATGTGACGCAATATTCAAGGTCACATGGAGTCAGAAACGTATCACGTAGCGAGTACATCCTGTGGATTATAAATGTTGCAATTTATTAGGTCTGTCATTTCTTGATCGCGTGACTTTGAACATTATTACGTTACGAGTCATTGAATTCATCTTATTTTCATCTAATAAAATGTCAATAAAACACAACACCAGTCAGAAAATAAATCAATTTAATCCGAAAGTAAAAATGAAGGCGAGAAAATAAATACGTGTCTCTCATTTTATAAACACTATAATGCAAAATGAAAAAGTTCGGAAGTAATTTTTGAATAATAAGGCAATGATTAAATTTTTAGTATCTTTTTTAGTATACGTTGAGGAAACTGTATGCTGTCTTAAACTTGTATTGTACAGGACATTTTTTAAACTGCAGAGTCAAGAACTGAACGAGTTAATAAAACTCTCTGAAAGAAACAAAAAAGGAGTTAACAAACATAAATCAATGAATTAATAGTTTCTCAGATATTGAATGTTTTATGTGTTGACTTAATAACGTATCGAACTGCTTGTTACAATTTTTTTTTCATTTCTCGGAGTCATAAATTCTGCTACGAGCCACGGACCAGACATGCAGTTTATCAACTTAATGGCATTGCGTAACTTGGTAGCATGGAAAAAAATAAATAGGAAGAAAATTGTAATACGTCAGTTTTTAGAATAAGAATACAACTTTCTCATAGTCTGAATTCGATGACACATAACATGATGATGTTGCGATTACTCTGAATTTCAATATACTCCTTTTTCATTTGTTCTTTAAAGGTTACCTTAATATTTCTCTCAGGTTACACGCTAGTATTATGTTGAATTACAACAGACATAATTTAATAAACATTAAATATGTTAGAAGTAACTGTACCGACTTGCTGTCCATTAGATTGCCATTTATACGTAGTAGATTCAATATCAAACAGTTATCTTTATACACGGTGTTTTAGGTCGAGTAGCACAACTGGGCACGAGGTGATTCTATAAGAAAAAATAAGTCGAAGAAAAGAATAAATTTGTTTCGTTTGAAGTTTTGTTTTCGAGAAAATTGGGTTTAAATAAGTATTTATCCAAATCACGTGCATCTGTGCTGGCAATAAGTAGAAACGATCTGTAATGGACAGACGCATTAGTCAAGTCCTATTCTACTGCCCGTGTATCGAACAAATTTTATTTACCATACTCATTAGCCGACTATACGGAGTGGTTCGTTCATACATATTTTGCATTTAAAATATCGCAGTAGATAACTATAGTGTGCATATTATGATTAATGAAACACTTTCCTCAAGGACATTGTTTTCGAAATAAGGTTATCGACGCTTGCAAGACAAATTCAGCAAACAAATAAATTTGTAATTTGCACAATAATTCTGTGCATCCTTTCCAACTGCACAATTCCAGGTGACACATTTTGTCCTACTGGTAAAAACAACGGCGATATTTTAGGTGTCAGAGATAAACGGACCACCCTATATAATAACAAAATATAAAGAATATTTTATTTACCGTTAAGTGTCACTGGTTTGAGTTACAATATCGATAGTATTAATGTTTACAAATTTACAATTTTTATTCAAAACAGGAACAAGAGTGCAAAGTTCGCTATGAAGCTTGCTGCACGGTTGTGGTAGAATTTCAAGCCGCATCCCCAGAGATCGAAGCATCCGACACAGATATTGCAGCCGCTGCACATGACGATGGTCAAGCTGCAGAAAGTCATTACGGTACATCAGAAGTTTTTGGTGAATCGGGGAATACGCAAGTGACTCAAAATGAAGATATCGCCGAGCAGATTGCTACAAGTACAATTATTTATTTTTTACTTACTCTTAAGTTCTGGAATAAATAGGAGTGCAGAAGATGCACAGCTCCTCCGAAACAATACGATAATTTTCACAAAAATTATTAATAATACCAGCGATATTCGTTTTTTAGTGTATCTGAGATTATTCGAACTCTTTCTGGGAATTATTTCCTTTAATTTTGTTCGGTTAATGGAACTAGAACAAAATAGAAAATCAATGAAGGAATCGAATTCTATTTCTCTGTTTGTAGACATACAGATTACCGTCCATAAATGTCTAGACGCTGTACAATGTCGTTATTAGAATGTTACCAAGACTATCATTACTGCCGCTATTTACTGAATTAAATAGCTTTCTTTGGATAATTTCACCACATTACTAGGCTCTCCTATCGTTAATTCTTGTTTAGAACTCGAGTTCGCAATCTCTTGCACTGTTAAATTTAAACTAATTCTAATCAAATGTTTGCATCGTCTTACTGACGATCAGTAACGTTTACGTGAGATACTTTGTATTCACAAAATAATTGTTTCGACGAAATGATACAAGTTATTGGACTGCTTTGTTTTGGAATTCAAATATTATTTTGATATTTATTAAATCCAGACGAAATAATGTACCATCGCGAAGTCAGAATTGGGCAGAATTTATTCAAATAATACATATTGAGTTAAACACATATACATTCTAAGCTCTGAACGGTTAATGAGATTAAATAATTGTTCGCCAAATCTATTATATTGTTATAACAATTAGAATTTCCACATTTAAACGATTAAAAATGACGAAGTGTTTTTTTATCTTTTATTCGCTATTCGAAACTCTTTATCTAGATAATGAATTTGCCCATTTCTGTGCAAAATATACAGAATTAATACAACGTTACATAAAACAATTTATTAAAAACATCGATGTATGTTTCTATCAACATTTCTCCTTGTGTTGTATTTATAAAAAATTGTTAAAAATTGTAGATACTCAATTTATCCCAACGCACGTGCAGCTTGGATGCGCAGCGGCTCTTCTTTGTGTCGAAGAACGATTTTGTACCGTGGATGGTACAATTAGTCCACAACCAGTTTCTTTGACAAGCAGAGAACTTCTTTATCGTGTACCATTGAGCGTAAGTAACTAATAGAAAATTAGAGATCATTAATTCGTATTAAACCTTACGATACTATCGATTTGTAAATCGGTTCAAATTTGCAAATTAATCTGAAACGCGTGTATTCGTTATGGCAGTTAGTAGAAACGGAATGCAGTAGTCAGACGCGCTAGCAAAGTCCTATTAAATTTTACGCGTATCCAGCAGATATTCAAATTCGCTTATCTTGAAAATGAAGGCTGAAATGAAAAAATGTTATTCTTTCTTTTCGACTTATTTTTGAACGTGCAATCATCATCCGGCCGGTTGGACTACGGTTTTCGGGGCACTCTGCATTATATTTGTTTTTTTTTTATGAGAAAAATATATTATCAAATATTAGTGTTATATTTCTTCCTTAGTTATAGCTAATTAATTCGAATGTAAGTGAGATAAATTGAAATGTATTCTTCCGATTATAATAATAGATTAATGAAGAAAAACTGAATTAACGTATCATTAATTGAAACATCAAAAGGATGATTTCAAGTAAAATATATCTATATAGCTTTACAGCAGAATAATCGATAAAATTCTGTCGGTATGTAACTATAGACGGTAAAAATTTTTTATTCTCATAACGCGTTCAAATACGAATTTAAATTTACCTTTAAAATTAACAATGTTTTGATATCATTTACATAAACAGGTGTTCTCAACCTGTCATGCTAATTTACTAATGTTTTAATAAACACATGCAGGCTACTTTAATCGAAATTTATCACGTTTTATTTTAACATTAATAAAACTAACGAATAATTATTCTAATAGAATGTTCTCAAGATACACGTACACTATTCGTTACATGAAAAAATGTTTAAGGCACACCTTTTCAAGGCTATTTCGAGTATTTTGCACGGAACGACGTATATATTTTTATAAAAATTCAATGAAATTCAATCTGTATGTTTTGTTCAACAATACATTCAAAAGGTTGTATACAAACAATATGGAAATAATTATAATTGTACAATATGCCAGCTTTAAAACCAAACTAATTTTACATAAAATTTCTTTGTGGTTCAACTAATAGTTTACAAGCAATTTGTAATCAATTAATTCCTAATGTGCTGAGTGTCTCGGTCATAATGCACATCAAAATTATTTTCACTGGTAGGTATTAAACATAAGAAAAAATGACTGACAGGAGTTTATATGGTTGCAAAGCGTGCATCTGGTGATAACAAAGAAAGTCCCCCGAGGTTGTGTTGGAAGTTATTTCAAGGTTGTTAACATTTTTTTGCATATTACATTTTGTTTCTTGCAATACAACGTTGTAGCTAACATCAAGATGAGTTCAACGACCTATGACATTACGACTTTGAAATGACCTTAAACAGTACGATATCGATTGAATCATTTCTGGATTCCCAACTAAAATTAATTAGTAACAACATTCGTTCGTCGAATATTGCCCGTTTTCATTGCTTTTCGACACGCTGATGAAGCCACTATCAATAGTTTGCATGTTTTGCTTTGTTTTATGGATTCTGGTGGATTACAATGTTTCCAGTACAATACGAAATTCTGCAAGATCATTACAAAGGCACTTCGTCTGATTAGCTTGAAAGTCTAGAGCTGAGAAAATGTATCATTAAAGCCAAGAAGAAGAAAATAAATATTCAATCGTTCACTCGTCGTGTGCATCAATGTATTGACATAGGGCGGGCCAGCAATCCGAAACTTAGTGACGTGAACTGATTTATTATTTCTCTCCTGTTTCACAATTTTTACATTGTCCTGTTTTAAACACATTTTTTTCTATTCAAAGTCATTTCAAGGTCATGATGTTAGTGGGCCGTTGAACTTGTCTTGATGTCGGCTACAACGTCACATTACAAAAAGCAGAATTTAATGTGCAAAGAAACGTCGATGACCTCGAAATAACTTTGAAGATGACCTTGGTGGGACCTTTTTTTATCATTAACAGGTGCACGTCTTGACACCATATAAACTCCTTTTCTCCATTTTTTTCTTATTTTCAATACAAGTAGAAATAATTTAAATGATCATTATAAGTGAGACACCCCATATACATATACAACACTTCAGGCACTTGTTGTATCTTTTTGACACTAGACTTTCGAACTGCTTGTTTCCATTCGTCAAATTAATATTGTCGTATTCTCTTACAGCCGTGCAAGAATCCTGAAACCGGAGTAGTCGGCAAATGTTGTCGCGATCCAAATTACGTGGATCCCTGGCCGGCAGGAAATCTTCCTGCGAATTACTCCGGTGGTTTCGATGAAAAAGGTTTTCCAACGTTTTTGAACCTTTCAAAAGTGAAACCTCCGAAAGTGCCTGTGACACCAGTTAAAAAACCTACGAAGCCTAACGTTAAAACACCTACTCGCCCGCCAGTGGAAGAAAAAGGGATACACTCTGACTATACAAACACAGTTACGGAAGTTTTAATCCCCCCGCCTAAGACTACCGATGAAGTTGAACATGTGGTACAGGATACGAACGTTGTCGAAGTGAAAACAAAATGCGGTGTCAGGCACAAGGTAATTGAATCATCGGCTGAACATGACATTTATATATATATATATATATGTATGTATATATTCGTTTAGTTCCTATGTTTTGCGATTTCTCGAAGCTCGTTTTGTTCAATATAAAAGGATTTTTGCGAGTATATCCTAGAACAGTGAATTTTCTAAAATCACAAAATCAAAAAGTATTTCATTCTTAAGTGTACAAGTAACTCAACCACTTGTAATTTCACTGTATTTATAGCTTTTTGAACAATATTTTATTTATACAACAATAATTGAAAAAAATTTTTATTTTACTTAAGAGAAACTGGAAAATAAAGAAAAATCAAAGAATATAACCAAAAAAAATAAGTGCATTAAGACTAGGGAATATATCTTAGGTATACATATACATATACATCTATTCGACACTTTAATTTGAAGGTCTAGAACTTAGGTACTAACTTTTCTCGCGTTTGTCCTTTAAGTTAGCGGTCGTTCCAGTACGAATCTTGGCTTTCGATAAAATTCAATTTACAATACAGGTTCATTTTATCAATTATTTTCAACTCTGTAGTGATATACATTACGAAGGATACAAATGTTAAAAATTAACAATTGATAAGTAATCTGGCAAAGGCTAACATGATAATATAAAGGAAGGTGATTCTACGCGTAAAAAGTACTCGAAAACATTGAATAAAATATGTTCGTATGGAGTTTTGTTTTATGGAAAACAAAAAGTAATACTTCATCTGGTTATAATATTAGATTATACATATATAATAGGCTGTTTTCGATTAATTAGAGTGAACTAGCTTGTCTATTATTCCCTATTTCCATTTGTAATATACAGTTATGTCGGTTTTGTTAAATTATCAATGTCAAATTATTGTGGAAAGAACAATAATACTATTTCACTATCTACTTTTGTAAATATTAATACAACGTGAAGTAGTTGTAATAATTACAAAAGGAGATGCGGTAGAAATACAAAATTTATTCCACATTTTCCACCGTTATTACATATGGAATTATCTTTTTAATTTTTACAGAGTACTGACTCAAGTGAATCGCAGACAGTTTTCGGCGAAATTCCATGGCAAGCTATGGTTTTACATTCAAGAGATCGAAAAATTCTGTGTTCGGGTGCTCTCGTCAGTACACACGATGTGCTAACAGCGGCCAATTGCATTGAAAGGTAAAAGATCATATTATATTCTTATAGCCACAAATGCACAGATTAAAATTTTTCAATATTTACAAGTGAAGTTATCCAGATGTTAAATTAGTTTTGTCAAAATAATGGTTAGAAATAATAGGATTTCATCTTTTAAGAACTGAGGTAAATGTCACTCACCAGGAAAATTCAGTACCGGCCAGAAAAATTGCGTCAAAGTCCGCCATAAGCATCTCTGCAATTGGATATAAATAAATTTCTTTTTACAGTTCTTTAACTTAAAAATTTCGTTTTGATACAAGTAAACAACATAACTGGAAAAGAAACAAAAAAATCCAACGTATTTGTATTTTATAATCCTATAGATTCCTTCATGATTTCTTTCACATGTTTAGCGCACAATAATGTATGACGATGTTATTACTTGGTATGGTGTATCGTGCTCTTTCCTTGTTATCTTTTTCATAATTTCTACACTTCGTTGCGCTTCATGCTGTTTATTGGTATTACTCTTACGTATTACTAATATTATATTACGTTATTTTTTCTCAGCTAAATATTATTTACATCATAATACATACATACTAAAACAATTTGTGTGGAGATGTTTATTTCATTTATTTCAATAACTGGGGCAAGTAATTAGATACATGTTTTTCTGTTTATCAAGTATGCAGCCGAATGATATTTCAATAAAATTAGGAGAATGGAAGCTGGGATACGAGCTAAAACACGAAGAACCCCTTCCATTTGAAATTCTCAATGTATCATACATCCGAATGCATCCGGAATACACGAGAGGGCTCGCAGAACACGATCTCGCAATTTTACACCTCGAAGCACCAGCAACCCTTGACTATCATGTAAATCCCCTCTGTCTACCTCAAACGAATGCAGTAGAAGCAAAGAAGTCATGCATCGCCACAGGTTGGGGGAAGACCATTCTCCAAGGTAAATGAACGTATAAACACACAATTAATATTTAACACTTATATAGAAGGCTAAAATTGACCCCTTGGATGTCTATTTAATTACAAAAAAAAGTCAACAGATTGTATCTACAGATTAATTTATTTCCATAAAATGAGTGGCATAGTATTTAAGATGATTCCAGGCTATTAAAATATATGATATATTCGACATATGAACAAGTAAGTGAAGGTTTAGAGTCGATACGTACTGTCGACCTTTCGTTGGCGATTTGGTCCATGGACGATCAAAAACCAGGCAACCAAACTAGGAGACTCGTAAATTGTCCGTATCGTAGGTACTGTCGAACAGAATGGATGTCTAGGAGATTGTAGTAATTATGAAGTGTCTTTAACAAAAAAAAAAAAAATAAATGTTAGGTACATCACTTATTGCAAGAATGCACAATGAAAGGAATGTTCACTGAATTTTTTGAAGTTATTAAAAAGTATGAAGATAAATTCTTCAACTTCGTGAGAATGTCGGTTAAATCATTTGACGAGCTTTGAAGGTGCCTTCCGCAAATATTTACCAATTATGGATTCTGTTCAAAATTTAACAGAACATTCTTAAAAGCTTCAACTTTCGATTACTACCAAAAAATCGCAAGATGAACGATGAAATTATTGAAAAAGAAACGTTACAAAAATTTCTTTTTAACACAAGCCTTATGGAACTGTAGCAGATAGTGAAAGATTGATCATTTCTTATTTAGCTACAAAAAATGATATTTCTATCAAAAATTAGGTGGTTATAGATTTTTTAAAAAGATATGTTAAGTTAACGATCAAATGAAAGTAAAAATTAAAGTAAATTTGTAAACATTTAAAATAAGCACGATACATCATCTATGTACTTTATAAAGTAGAATTATTCAATAGGTACCATTAAAGAAGCTGATACTTTTACTTACCATAGGAATAAAGCTTAAGAGTGAGAAGTTATATTTATTAATGGAATGCAACTGTTCTAATGTAGCGCATTATGCGGGGGCAATTATGCATGCGGTGGGAATGAGTATACTTTCAACGGACGTATGCAAGAAGCAGTTAACAAGTGAACAAATAAGTCCGGATGTTGCAAACGGAATTATTTGCACTACACCTACGGAAGAAATTAATAATATTTGTGAAGCAGACCTTGGAGGTCCCCTGGCTTGCGTTAACGAACAAGGACAATATGAACTGGCTGGAATTTATAGTCAGGATACAGGATGTCATTCGTCGAATGGGGTAAACATTTTTTATATTATCCCATATTACTCCAATTTGTTTACTACATTACTTTTACACTGTAATAGTAAACGATTATTTCACCTTTATTTTTACTTAATGAATTCTCACAGACACAGCTAATACTGTATGAAGCTCAGGATATCCTAAAATAGTTGTAACTCCTGGAAAGGGGTGATTCCTGGGGTGATTTGAAGCTACTTTTTCCATAGTAAGAAAGTTCTCCGAGGCTTTGTTAACGAGATATTAACGAAAAACCCGGTAGCTAACTGGTCTCGCTAAACCCGGAGCGCTGATTGGTCGGGATTTTTCGTTAATATCTCGTTAACGAAGCCTCAGATTACAATTTTGCTAAGGAAAAAGTTGTTCTAAATCACCCCCGAGTGCCCCACTTCAGAGTCGAGCAACATTTTTGTTACACCCTGTATAAAAAGAACTCATTCTTGTATACGAGTAGTGTTCCAAAGATTACATATAAAATTAATTTGATTCAATTCTGTTAATTTAAAATTTTAGGAATCATCAAAAAAGTTTTGATTGTTATTCTCATTAAATTTTACATATTAATAAGAACTTTTACACCCCCGCCAGAAATGGCCCTGCATATCGGTGTAAATTTGTTCTACTAGAAAAAATTCTATGCATACAGCAATTCCTAAAGAAAACTTTTAATTAAATTCTACTAAATTATATTATGAAATCCTGATGTATATTATACTTTAATTTATTGTTTCAGGTGGTTATTTTTGCTCCATCAGATGAGAAATGGATAAAAGAAAGTATGTTCAGTGAAACATACGAAAAAGATGTAAAGATATCGCAACAAGCTAATGACTACAGAGAAAGTACTTTGTTTGAAGATAATCAGTATCTACCACCAAATTGAAGACCCATGATATAATCTGTTTTCGTTATCTATTTATTACATTTCGATTATTGACAAAACGATTACTTCTAAGAACGATTCTTGGATCGAAACTTCTTTCGTACAATTTTTTTAAGGTAATGATAATAATATACATTTTACAAATATGTTAAAAATTGATCAAATAAACTATATTAAACCAAATAAACTACTCGTTGTAATTAATATTTATTGTGTACATACCCAGATAGCACACGACGTCTAATGACGCCTTGAAGATGGCTTAAAAGCACCTTAGACATAAAATAGCCGTAAAATGGACGTCTTTAAGGCGTCATGTGCAAAGCCAAATTTTGTCCAACGCCTTTATAATTTTACACAGTTCATTTTTTCGTGGTCATCAACAAATGTTAATTTCAGCAAAATTGGTGACTATGGCCGTAATTCCCTGTGCGTTTTGACGTGAATAGCTTGTACTCTGAAAAAGCGAGCTCAGATATACTGGATTCGAACAAGGGATCCGAGCCGAAAACCCGAAAGAACCGAGCGGCTCGAAAGAAATGAACTGCTTGAATAATTTCGAGCGGTTCGAAAGAAGAGTAGCTTGAATTGTTTCGAGCGTCTCGAAACGATCTAGTGGCTGTAACGATCCGAGTAGAAGTAGTACATTTTTCGTGCAGATCGATGTTTTCAAGCAGTTCGATATATTAAATATAATAAATGTTTCGGATATTTTATGGTAGTTTTTTCTAGTGGAACGGGTGTAATAATTAGTAATGAAAGTTTAAAATTTTGATAACGCATATTGAAAGAAGATAGGCAGTAAGAATGATTTTCTCGATTTTTCATGGTAAATAATTATGCATTCCTAATACCTTGCAACAGCTTGGAACATATAGAATAATGTCTCATTAAAGTAACGACCGCAACGCGAGACGTAACACATACAATAATCGTAAAAATCATAAGAATAAATCCGTTGTTAGGTCGTGCTTAATCGCCGAACCGTTACACGATCTTTAGATTTCGAAACCGAAAATAAAGCACACTTTGATTGTTTCGTAATGACTGTATTTACAAGTTGTGTGTTTGTGTGCGTGTGTGTGTGATGTTCACCGGGTGAATTCTGGTTTGAGTCTAATTTTCGTGTGCCGTCGCTTCCTCCAAATTCGCTGAAGGAGTTACCAAAAAACTCGCTTCCTTATTGGTTATGCTCTGAACAGGAAGGCAAATTTCTCGGTTTTCCCAAGTGACGTGGAGGTGGAAAACCTCTCCTTCGGGGCGAAGCGGACGTCAGAAAAATATCGTGCACGTGGTCACGGTGCGAGTTGACCGCGACGTTGTATTGTCTGCGAGTCAGTGCGCCACGGTAAGGCCCGGCGCGGATGGGTCCCAGGTTACCGAACGCATGTGGCGGACTGCAGACCAAATGTTCGTTTCTTTTGTCTATTACTGTCTTTGTATCAACGAAATTGAAATTGCTTGAACGAAGGAAATAAAATAATAAAAAATAACGGTAATGTCAGATTCTAAAGCCGTCGTTTCGGGTCTACGACGGAACATCCGTTTTAGCGAGAAATGAATAATAGCGAAATATAACTACTTTTAAGTAATACCTGGTAATACATATATGTGTAATGAACAAGATGTATCCACAAGTCCACAAGTCATACGATATTAAAGCGCCATACAATTTGAAGTTTCGAGCCATTGAGTCATGGCTTAACTTCACTAATCAGTAAAATAAAAAATAATTAATTCATTAGATGAACAATGAACTTATTCTTTTATTTAATTATCATCGGTTAAACGTGGATCTTACAAAGTTTCATTAAAACAAGCTCGTGTGCTAGGTTTTATAGATATAATCTGTTTGTGTAATAAGTTTTAAGCTTCGTTCATGTGTTCTTAGGTCTGTATTTCAGTAGCGCCAGTTTGGTGCAATCGTGTCCACTTTTAGCACTAAAATATTGATTCCCCTCCTCTGCTATCACCCGAAAGGATATCTGTTCAAAAAGTTGCGTGCATTTAATGACAAAAATAATGTACCTGTAGTAAGACGACGAACATTCGAAATACTTTTTAAACTTCTAATTCTACTTTACATTTCGTATTAATCGAAAGACGACATTTCCATTGAAACATGGATGGAAGGAAATTGTCGTGAGTATTACACTACCACTATTTGAATATTTTTAATGAACAGATCATTGTGATTTTTTAGAATATCCATTGTTTTATCTTAACAATGATTAGAACACATTTTCTCGTAAAAGTTAACATACATATTCTAAATATTAAAAAATTTTACAAATGCGAACAAATGATAGGTTAAACTTTCCCATTTGGTCTTTTTTCATTTATTTCCGTATTTTTATTACAATTTACTGTCCAACTTTGAAAAATGTAAAAAATATCGAGTTTGACAATTTGTGAGATATGTTTTCAAAGTAGAAATTTTTTGCATATTAGGTTAGTTCATTGGCTTGCAAATACTATTTTAACACGAGTCTAACGACTGTTAGGCTTATTTAATAAACATTTATGAAATGTAATTAATACTTTATCATTGTTTTCTTTGTTTTTAAAAGAGTATTCATGAGTTTTAATGCTTGAAATTGTAATATGTCTTTTTATTAGCTTGTGAATTATACTGTAGATTACAGCATATTAAATATTTAAATGTTCAAGGAAGACATACAGTTATTAAGAGATCATCGAAATGCATGTCAGTTTATTTTAACATACTCAAATTTGGAATATTTTTATTTTTGCCTATTCCTTCTTTATTGGCAAACAATTTTAAATAAGAATACAAGTTGAGACATATAAAGTTGTTTTATACATTTTTTATAAATAGGTGTCTTAAGAATATTAAATTTTATATTTCATTATGGTATAGTAATATTATTTTTAAAATAATTAAATTTATATTACATATAATGTAAATATATAGACTATTATAAAAATTATGTAATGGATGTTACAAAATATGATTCTATTGTAAAAATGTATGCAGATATAATAAAGTAAAATAGTAACACATATATGATATATTTAATACATTTATTAAGTTAGATATGTTTTACTTGTTTTAGAACGGCAGGGGATTCCCTATACCAGATTTTAGAGATTCCAAGTACTGCCACACCTGAAGAAATTAGAAAGACTTATAGAAAATTAGCATTAAAATATCATCCTGATAAAAATCCAAATAATCCAGAAGCTGCAGAGAAGGTAAATTATTTGTAGTTAATTATTTTATGTCTTCAATGTTTATATTAGAGAGTAACAGTATATCGAGGGAATGAACTTAGTTGTGCCATAAGTTATTAACTTGATTTTTAAATCTGATGGTCAACAGTAGGATATCATAGTAATTCAAAACTGACATCTTACTTAACATTGTACAAAACATTCCTTCTTAGAATTAGCCTTTCTGTGTAAAATGTACCTTATTAAAACTGAAGTAACAATTCTTTTATCATAAGAAGTTTCTGAGAAATGTAAAAATTATATAATTTTTTATTTATGCATTAATTAATAAGACATAATTACACATAATCTTTAATTTAAAGATCTATATTTTTTTGCAAGTAAATATCCCAGAGTAGTGCACTGATCTACAATATAAATGAGTTTATGGCTTAGTTTAGTAGACAAATTTGTGGTAAAGTATCAAATGGATTGCAAGAGTGGTATTACTATAAATAATTTGAAATTTTTATTTTATTTTGACAACACAAGATGTTAATGATTCTATAAGGTATACATTTTCGTTTTTTATTTGTAAATATATCATCTGGTATACTAATGTTGGTTGGGACTGTAATCTAATTTCTCAGAGACATAAAAAGAAGTGTTTAAGATGTTCCTACGTTCAAGGACTGTAGCGGTCGGGACTGCAAAAGAAGTTTCTGTTTATATCACTGGGTTTACAACCACATTTTATATAGACACTGTTATATCCTAATATACCTATTAAAGCATTTATTACATTTTATTTCATTTGTAGGTATGCATTTATTCATATTCAGTTTTATAGTCCATGGAACTGTATTGTAAGGTCATAAATTAAAGTGTTAATCGGCGACACAGATTGATGTGACCGCACTCAGGGCCGTGCGAGTCTTATAAAAGTATCGTGAATGTCAGGCTACAAAAGTCATATGTGAATTGATATTTAAAATTTCTACTTATAGTGTGTCACTAAAACTGTACAGTATTACGTCCCCATCGCCCTGTGCTCGATAACAATTGCCATATTTTAATTTCTTAACAAAACTCTGTCCTTTCAGTAACAAGTAATTCAGTTTCTTTTATGAATTTTATGTACTTAAAATAACTTATAAAAATAGCTGTTATCATTGTAGGTGTGGTTTTTCAGAGTACGTTCATTCAGTAATATATATTTTATTGAATTCCCTCAATGAAAGTGTAAGATGAAAGTATCAGTGAGTCATACTGAAATTTGCTCCAGATTAAATAAGATTTACCTGAGAGCAGGATTAAACGTAAACCATGCAATGGTTAACACTATATTTGTAAATTTGAACAAAATTCATGTTGAACTGTAATGTTATTAATTCATTCATTAAGAAATTAGACAGATGTAAAGCTAGAATTTTGAATTTTATTATTTATCCTTTAACGCCCAGGCCTCTAAATCGTTATTTCAGAATTATGAGACTGTATATGTTGTATCATGTTATTTTGAGGACAAAAATATGGATATTGAGCCTGCCTATTTTTTTATTTTTCATATTTTTTAAAATTTATTTTTGGAGAGAATATTTGGCTTATCCAACCAAAAACACTGAAATCTACTTTATTTTCAGTGAAATTTTGGATTCTTGCTGACAAATGTTAGATATTAACCGACAATAGAATTGGACACACTTTTAAAATTAGTGTTGTACTGGTGTTGCACTTGTAATGTTTTATTAAGAAATTATGATTAAATATAATCTTCATATTTACTTTAATAATTATTGCTCTTCTGAATTTTATGTGAACTTAATTCTATTGAAGTATGCACTATTATTTTAACGTTGCTGCTTATGTCAAGAAACTGTTAACCATTTGGGAGGTGTTTTATAAGTCATATCTTACCTCAGTGATCATAACAAATAATCCACGGTGTAATGATAAGTTAGTAGGCTTTGTTATAAATAATATTACAGGTCTCAGAGTTTATTGTATCAGGTGTAAGATGTTTATATTGAAATTTGTTATTATGTATAGATTGCAAAATACATGTAATATCCAATGTTCAATTAAGTGCAATTTACATTGTTGGAAAAATATTAAAATAATGATTAATGAAGAATGTTTGAAAAATGGAGATATTTATTTCAAGAAATATAGATCTATAGATTAATATAAATACATAATGTCTAATGCATACTTCCTTTTTGAATAGAAAGTACCTATTACAACACTCTAATGCAGAAAAATGTTGATCTTTTTACATTATGGTTTCATAATAAATAGATTCTTTGAAGGGACAGATAAAATAATTTTTAATCAGCATGATTTTTGAACATTTTTTATATACATAAGTTTTAAATGAATGATACTGTGTTTCAGTTTAAAGAAATAAACAGAGCACATGCTATATTAACAGATTTGACAAAACGTAACATATATGATAATTATGGGTCTCTTGGATTATACGTGGCTGAGCAATTTGGGGAAGAAAATGTTAATACCTACTTTGTTCTTACTTCTGGTTGGAGTAAGGTAAGTTTCTAGTAATCTTTATATTTTTGCTTAAATTAATAATAAGATAAAACTATTTTATAAATAATATTAGTATCATATAACAGGATTATTTTTTTGTTAATATTTATTCTAAACTTATTATTAGTTAAAGAAGCTATTTAATTTTTAAATTTTCATTAAATATCTTAAATGTTAATCTTTTAAAATTTATTTTTAATACATTGTTTTGCATAGAAGGCATTGAAAAATATTAAGAATGGTGTACATACAGAAAATATTATTATTTGCAGGCATTCTTTGTACTTTGTAGTGTGATGACTGCGTGTTACTGTTGCTGTTGTTGCTGTTGTTGCTGTAACTTTTTCTGCGGCAGGTGCAAACCAACACCACCAGAGGACAGTGGAGTGTACCATAATCTACAGGTAAACTTCTCATCTTATTATTTAATTAAAGGGTAAACAACTATAGACTGAGTTTAATTTAATCAAAGGTATGAAATTACACAAGTTATATGAGATATTTTTTATTTACATGTAATTATCAAGAACCTACTTTTCATAGTACTTAATATACTGTTTTTTTTTAAGACAAAATATTTCGGAAATTTTTAAAACATGTAAAAGCATTAGGAAAAGAAAGTTTGAAATCTTCAAGATTAATTATGTATGCTGGTTTGAATTTTCGAATGGTAGATTTGTTATAACAATTAATATTATTATCAAACTTTTTAGTTATTAGATGTATTTTAGTACAAATTCTATTAACGTTTACTACGTAAACATAATTAAATTCACAGGACACTGTGTTTATTTATTGACATAATACAACTTATATAAATTTTGTTAATTTTTGTTTTTATATTAGTTCAAGTAAAAATTTAAGTTGAATATGTATATCTCTATTCAGTGCATACATATAAACCTAAATTTGTCTTCAGATAAATTTTTTCTTTCCTTTATTATACATAGGATCTTTAAAATGCTTTTGATTTTAATTTAACCGTTTCTCAAAAGTCTTGTGACATTTTTATAAACATCTATTTTAAATGCAAACTATAGTTCACATTCTTATTTTAATTTGCTATGGTTTGTAAAGCTGCAGTAATCTCGTTTAATTCTAGAGAAACATTAGATTAACAAAAGTGAATATAGTCAGGAAAAATAATGTTTGTAATTAATATCAAATTACCCTAATCCTATAGAAATATTAAACAAATTCAATATTACAAATCTATGCTTGCTACAGAGTTTATGTATTCTGTGAAGATTTAAAAAAATTAGATTTGTAACAGAATGAAGCTTGCACATGTAATGTTGCATATTTGATCCAAGTAAATATTGTTTAACGTGTAGGTCAGACTTTTGAAGTCTTAAGTTGCTAGGAATTGAAAGATTCTTTAAAACTTAAACGACGTTTTTGTGTAGATACAGTGCACAAAGTTACATTAAAAAATTGAAATATTATGCAACAGTAAAAAGTGCATGATGGGAAATCTTATATTAAATTCAGTACCAAATGATAATAGGCAATATTCAGTGGTTTGTTTATTAAAGGTATTATATCTGTAGTCATTGAAACTACAATCAAAATGTTGAAGTGGAATTTTAATGAAACATAAAATATTAATATAAATTCAGAATAAATAGTTATAAATTTATAAATGAAACCAATTAGATTTAATAATTTTAACTAATAATTTTAATCAAAGTGGTAATTGACATCTATACGTGCATAAAATGGATTTTTCAAATTTTTAACCAGTCTAATTTAGGAAAGAGTTAAATGTATATTTCGAAATCCTTGAGCACATAGATCTATTTTTTAAATATTTAAGTTCATGTATTTTACAATCATAATTATCTAGATAATCAACACTTCCTTAAGGTAATATCAGTTAGGTTTAATGACATTAAAAGCTTTTATTGTACGAGTAAGATTTAATTATACGTTTGACAAGCTTGGGCAAGATATTTCTCTTAATTTTTTGTTACGTCCGAATTTTTAGTAAATTTATAATTATTTGTCCAGTCCATTGTTTACTCTGCAGTAGCAGTAGTAGTGGTATTAATGTATTTGGTGGTATTAGTTTTTGTTAAAGTTATTATTGTTAAATGGTAAGCTTCAAAATGAACTTAAGTTGCACCAAATCTTATTTATAATTTTCCTTAATAATTGTGAATTATTTCTTTCTTGATTCATTTTTTATGTGTGCACTAAATGTGAGTTCAAGGTAAAGTTATGTAACAGAGCAATTTTGTTTCAATTTGATCACTTGCATGTAATGTTACTGTAATGTTCTGCACACATTCAGAATTAAAATTGAATGTAAATGCACCTTCCTCCTTTTTTTGGTAAGAATTTTATACGTTTTATGATTATTGATTGTAACATTTATTCAGTTCTTTAGTCTTATTGTAATTTTTTTTAAAGTATATTATAACAATAATGGACAAAACTATAAGCGATAAATTGAAATTATGAAGAATTTTGTTTTCTGATAAATTTTCTTATACAATAATACAATTATAATATGTAATACATACGATGTATTGAGATATATAATAATTAATAAGAAAACGTATTTGGATGGTAATATTTAGGAATTTTCACGAAAATTGTAATCACGTTTTTTAACTGTTATATCTATAAACAATTATTTTACAAGAATACAGTTGCTCCATCAGCATTTCTCGCTAATTGTTATAAATCTTTAATAGTAATAACAATAACAAAATGACAAAATCCTAAGCGATATTAAGATAGAATAGTGTAAAACAAAGAATGATTTAATGGCGCAAAAAACGATAGGTATTAATATATGCGGATGCAAAGAATGAATGATTTTTTACGACTGGTAGTAGGGTATCCGGTCATTAGACGTCATAAAGATTGTGTACATATGTGTAGGTGTTCGCAAAAAATAGGGAAATTGTAAGCTCAACTCAACAGAACTGAATTTCAATAACTGAATAGGAAGTGTCACTTATGTGGTATGTCATAAGTACCAAAATTAATTCTTCAAAGAGGGATGCCGTATACAATTCTATGTCCTCCCTGAGCTCATACTCGTATACTCCTGTATTTCAGTACCCTTGTACCCGTGTATCAAAAACTACACGGACTGAAACACGGGTATATTAATTACACGTGTACACGTGTAATCGAGATGTCTAGTCAAACGACATGATTTCAAGAAAATCGCAGTTAGTCATTTTTTACACATAGGGTGTTAAAAATACAGATTCAAAATTTTATATTATTATATACATAATATATTATTATATAGTTTATTATGTGGTATTCTATTCACACAATCGATCCAATAACATAGTTTTTTCGCTTCAATCTCATCTTCGAAACACGTGGCCAGTCACGAGACTGGAAAACGTTTTCAGTCGTCTACCACTCGAAAATTCCGCCAGGTATTAAAAAGCGAGCACAAAGTATATATTAAGTATAGGAAGTATAGATTAAGTATAGGAACAATACGATATTCCATATATGAATGGTAGTGTAGAAATTAAGTTGTTAAGCGTTAACAAATTCTTCAGCGGTATCGTAGAAAGCAAACACTTGAAACTTATCAACAATCTTATAGGTAAGAGTAAAAAGTATATGTTTAATCCAAGTAATTATATCATGAGTGTAGATCCCGTATAAATTGTGCTCCCACTTCAGAACGCGTAAAGTGTACTTGAGCACCAACATTTTTTCCCCTAATCATGGCATAACATGCACCACTGCCAGATAAATTCTCCCTCACTGCCCAATATTGACCTTACTTTAAAAAAAAGAAGCTTTCTTATACAGGGTGGGGCAATAACTATGCCCACTTTGAATATTGCCGTTATTTGTAATAATATGAAAAAATGTTATATACAAAACTTATACAGTATAGAGGGGGGCATATTGTGACACAAATATTTTCTGCGTGGGTGAAGGCATAGAGGAGATTTCAAGGTCATCTCTATTTTTTTTAATGGAATGCTATGTTTTTTTTATCGCAATGTGATAGTCGGTGTTGAGACGATTTCAGCGAGCTATCATTGAAGGTCATGCAAGGTCAAATGTGGTAGAAAAATAAACTTTCTTATATTACAGGAGATGCTCCAAGTGGTGATCGTTTGCGTCAATGCAAAGTTGCAATCTTCGTTCGAATCTCCTTTAATATAAGAAAGTTTATTTTACTACCACATTTGACCTTGCATGAGCTTCAATGATAGCTCGCTGAAATCGTCTCAACACCGACTATCACATCGCCATAAAAAAACATAGCATTCCATTAAAAAAAATAGAGATGACCTTGAAATCTCCTCTATGCCTTCACCCACGCAGAAAATGTTTGTGTCACAATATGCTCCACTCTATACCGTGTAAGTTTTGTATATAACAATTTGTCATATTATTACAAATAACGGCAATATTCAAAGTAGACATAGTTATTGCCCCACCCTGTATACACTACTGCCGTTCATAACAATTAGGGCACCTGATATGTACGAAGAAAATGTTATAATTTCATAAAAATGATATATTTCGGGCTATAATTATCACTTTATATTAGCATAAGTATTGTCTATCAAGCTTTACTATCCCCTAAACAATATTTATTTCAGATCTTCAATAATTTTGTAATGCTTTATTCCACTACATATTTCATGAGTGTTCTAATACTTATGAAAGAAAGTGTATGTATGTTTCAAGATACATCAACGTATTGGGTATTACTATATTCAGCACGACTGTGAATTATAATTAAACAGCTTGATTTCATCGAAATGTTTTTGTAATGCTGCTAAAAAAATTTTCTATTTTAATTTCTTCATCTGATACATTTGTATGTTTTACGTAACAGATATTGATACAGTAGGTAAATACATTGCATTGTTATATTATACTGAAATGGTCATTAATGAATCATTCTATTTATATGGTGTTCTGTTACTTATGCAAACGTAATCTGATAATGTTTCATGTGGTCTTGAATATGATGATACTGAACATATAAGTATTTATCAAATATCGAAACATCTTTCTCAATGTTTCCTATTTTAATGTGTTAACGCCGAGAACATTACCTTTAATAGTTATAAAGCAGTACATAATATGAAATCCGTCTACAAAATGGTATTATCTGACAAGTATTTATAATTTTGAAATTGGTTGTAAAAATTGTTCAAATTTATTTGTGACTGAAATATTCGGATATTTTTTATAATTTGTCATATAATTATTGTGGTTTTTAACATACTTCGCTTTAAAAATTGGAATTAAGAAAAAAGCAATCATAAAAAAATGCAAATTAGCCATCAATGTACGTGTATTATACTACTTTGCGATTTAAGCTGCTGCTTTAGTTATATAAACAATCAGATTTTTGGGACTCTATTTTCTACTAGTGTAATTGTTAATTATAGAGTATTGGCGATTCGGGCAGTGTCACGATGACCAAATGTCAAATCATTTTAATCTATGATCAAATTTTAGACGTATATTTATGAAATTAATATCGTATTAGTAAATTTTCTCTTAAACCCTTAGTTTTTGAAATAAATTGAAAAATATCAGCAAAAATTGGTGCGTTTTGGGTGTCTTTTCTACTTTGATCACTATTTAAACATATTTAGATATGTATAATTTAACAACAATTTACATCATCTTGTTCAGGAGAATTCAGAAAATGATTTAATGCCAAACACAACTGAATAACCGTTACTGCAAGAACCCAAAACATCGTTAAAGTTGAAAGTTTGCAATTTTTTTTAGAATCGACTTTTAAACAAATGTACGTTCTGGGAAATAACGGTTTGGAGATTCGTATTCAGCTTCTAAAGATCTACCAGGAACGTCTATTGAGGGTTAAAAAATCGAAAAAAAGTTAAAATATGTTGAACAATCTTATTTACTTGTAACCCGCCAAAGTTGTATGTGCGATCTGCTTGAATCAGCTGAAGTGAACGAAAGAAATTAATAGATTCTATCTTTTAACCTTTTAAAAAGAAGGTTGCTTATCACTGATTTAGAGAAACCGAAGATACAAAGGGGAATATATAGGTATTTTAAATAAATAATATATAATACAGGTATTTTATGAAAGTATCTATTAGTTTCATTTAGGTAATCATTTTTTCCTTTTTTGGAAACTTGAATAATATTTAACTTTTCTTCGAATTTCCGTACCACTCGATTCGTTTTGATACGTATGGCGTGTATGAAACTTCACTTTTTCAATACAAATGTTTATGTATATCTGAAACTTTCGAGATGTTAGCGCAGAACATGAGTCGCTAATAGATGTTTTGTATTTTCGAAAAGGCTTCGAAAAAGGAGTGACTTCTATTTGAATTATTTATAATAAATGTCTATTCATCAATTTTCTACGGTAGATGCAATAAACGAAGTAGGTGCTAGAAGTGGTTTTAGAAAATAACCTTGTCATTTAACCTGTTAATCTTCTGCTGGTTTAGTGTTAATAGACTCGGTGTCAAAATTAAAGGATTACGGACTTTTCGCCGAAAAATTGTCGATCTTTGAACTGTTATAGTTATAATATAACATATACTTCGCGAAGTGATATTTTACAATAATTCACCTGAGGCCATTTTTACCTCCACTAGTTGATTTCCCTCGAACATGTCTATTTGATATGTTGAGTAGAATCGGGTACTCATTTTACTAAATACAGTTCAAAAACTGTTTTTACTGAATTATAAGAAATGAAACTCGACGAATAACAGTATTTTGTGACGACTGCTCTAAATTTAGATTCCTAAAATTAGATTCTTTTAATACAGTGCAACGTTATTCTCGGTTTTAGATAAAATCTGTCGAATAAAGCAAATTTTATGTGTTTTATAATGATCTACACTACCGTTCAACAACGTGGTAGATGTTCAAAAAATTTAGAAGGTCAAGTTACAAGTTTTTTTTATTATAGTCAACGACTTATGTATCATAAAGGTTTATGTATACATATACCGGGTGTTCCATTTTAATTACCCCAGGAAAATATCTCGAAAAATATGAAAGATACAAAAAAACGTTTCAAACGAAAGTTTTAGGATATCGAGGGGGACAGATCATGCTGACATTCATTTGATCTTGCGCTGACCTTGAAAAACCCTGCGAAGGTCAACTGAAAATTTTTAAACGGGAACTAATATCTTTTACCTCATACAATTGTAGCTCACATCAAAAGGTTCTTAAAAGACTACCTGTAGACTGACGTATTTCACACGTATTTTTCCCGTATTTTCAACAATTAATAACTCGGAAAAGAAGCCTCAAATGTAATTTCGTCATCCTTTCACAGTGGCATATTTTTATTAACACTCTGTACAACGAAACCAACTTAAAAGTAGCAAGAAAACATATCTTCACCAAATTTTGCCTCATAAAAATTATCTCCTTTCTTTGATTTTCAAACAAATTTTGGGTACTCCATTTATTAATTTTTCAAAAATATTCTTCATCTAAACTTTCTCGTTTTGCTTTAAGATACTCCCAGATTTATGTGGCACACATACAAATAACAGAACACGCACATAAGCAAAATTCAACAAAATCAAACATTTTTGAGAAATATGGTTAGAAATAGGACATTTTTTCTGCAAACTGGTCAAACTACGCAATAAACTTTTTTTTACAGGCGTTATTTTCAACATATTAACGAAGGATCATTTATTTAACTAAAAAATATTACTGCTTCCAAACTTGTGACCAGTAGTGTATACATTATATTTATAAATTCTACATGTTACTTTTTTTCTTGTTTTACCATGTTCTGTACATTTATCTTGAATTATAAATTGTTGAACAAAATTGTTTTGCTCCTGATAATAATAAATTGTTCACTCTTGCAAGCAGTATAAAGTAAATATGATAGTAAGTAGCGCGGTATAGAGCATGTTAAACAAAATATGACCGATGCATAAAAAAAAAATGATGCAAGTGCAACAATAAATATTGGACGAACATGTATTTAGGCGTCAAAGATTAAGTAAACAGTTTTAACATTACGCCTTCCACGAGTTTTAGTTATTTAAACTGTGAGAAGATTTCCTTTTTTTGCGTAAAAACGAGGATGGTCAGAAGAAAATTTAAACGATTACCCTCGTTATGAAAACAGTTACAGTTTGTTAAAAAAACATGTTTTATTTTTAATTAGTCACTTATTAAAGACACCCATTAATGAAATTGTAATAATAATACAGCTATATACGAAAATAAAAGTATATGCTTTATTTATAATTTGAAAAATGGATGAAAAATGTTTAACAACCAACAGAAAAATGTCGAATACAGGGAACGAAAGAATTCTGCAGAAATAAACTATTTATATAAACATAACAATTATTAGTTAGTACAAAGCATTTAATGACTAGTCGTAATAACAGTAATTTTAAACTTTTTTCGGACCATCATTCTAAAATGCGATTTTTTAATTTGCTTCCATATTTTACGAAATGATTATTCGAGGCATACAGTTTACTTGGTTCCATAAACGGACACTATTTACGAACATTCATTTTCAAACGAAATTAACAGAAGTATTGTTGGAAGAATTTACTTTGTTGATGCAAGGAAAATGTTTAAAAAATGAGTACTATTTGAAACGTTCTGAATGATGATGTCAGATTATAGATGTATATAAATAAATCATAAAATTGTATGTCGATCACTTTTAAGGAAGTTTATTATAAGACATTTGATATTAAGATTGTTTTAGTCGTTTGTAATTAAACACATTCGTCATATTAAGTTTCAATGAATTTTCTTTGCAATCATTATCGTAACCACGTTATCCAGATTTATAAGGGTTGCAAAGTAACAGTTTCATTTCTCGAGGAGCGAACACATTTTTTCAGTGCTTTCGGACTATTTTCTCGATCAATCGTTGCATCGATTCATCAATCAGTGATTAGTAAAATCTTCCTGATTTAGCCTAGCATGCACTTTTTACGTCTGCTCTTTATTTTACAAATACGATAGATTAGCGGTTTTGTTTACGTTGTTGTTGTATTATAGCGGGACCAGAATCCAGAGGGTGATGTCGTGACGAATCAGCCAAGAAGCCAGGCCACCGTAAGTTTTTCCTTCAGTATCAGTGGTTCTTAGTTCTATAAGTTCATTAAAGGTTTTGAAGAAATTGTTTGCTTCTTTTTTTTCAAGTATACACGAAAATGAGAATAATAATATTTCAGCTGTTATAAATGATCTTGAAATGATTTAGGATGCACAAACTATGAAGGCCACCGATAACACATATATAACGTGACAATATAATTTCGTTTTTCTCGTAGCAATTGTTAGTTTACCTTTTTCTGTGATTCTTTTTGTTATTTGTTTCGTTGTGAGGCTGTACGTTAGAATGTTTTCGTTTTCACGTGTTCACGAGTTCGCGAGATAGAATAATTTCAGTTTCATCGACCAGAATAAGTGTGTAACGTTTATAATGAATTTTAATTCGTAGTAATTTGCAAGAATTGAAAATGAAAACCAGGCTGTATTTTCTACGCAGTCGTAACGGAAGGAGCTGAGAACCATTGAGACGGATCTGTAATATGCGTTGTTCGACTCACAATCATTTCACCAGCTTCTTGTACTTTTTCTATACTTTTGTTCATCCTGATTTTTACCGCCCTTTACGATGTCAGAGCAGGATTGTGTAGAACGTGAACTACAGGTTGGTATACGCTCAGGGAACTGATGGTACATTAGACCTACGAAATTCTATACATCTAAGGAACCGTTTATTATTCGATAATGCATACAATTTTATTACATAATTGTAACACCGACGTTTTAATAATGTTGTAATTTGTAAGATTATTTTTAATACTAATTAATATAACGCTATTACGATATTCCATTGCTTAGTATTATATCAGTAAAATGTTATTGTTATTCCTGTGTTATTACGACTACTTAATACTTTACGATGGGAATAAAATCCTGAAACTCGATAAAGCTGCCTGTAAAAGGATTGGCCAAGTAATAATATGTACGTTAAATTTACACAGCGCGTCGTAATTCGTGACGCAACGGACATTAAATTGAACCCTTGTGAGAATAAAATAAAAAGTATTGGATACGCTTCTCTGAGAAAAACCGCGTGGAGTACGTAGGTGTAAATAGAACAATTTTAAACTTATATTCATCTATATTTTTTATTAACATATTACACGTTATTATGTATTTATAATTTTAGTCCTCAGATAAAGGACTAATAATAAAATCTTGTTCCAAAAAAATACAGTTTAATTGAGCGTTAACGAAAGCATAAACGAAATAATATCAGTCCTGGTTTCACATGTACCCGGGTCGTACTGTGTGATTTCAAATTTTCTTTCTTCCGTTTTAAATTTATATTTCTAACTGTTAAGTATTTCTGTACCGAATTAATCATTTTTACGGTTGATATTAATTAGAGCCATTAGTAGACTGCAGATCTTTATATAAATTCACAATTTTTAGAAATTAATTTATGAAAGTGACAATTAAATGGGTAAAAATTGTATTACGTAGAAATAATGTAAGATTATTATTAAATGTTATCAGTTTTTCTAGGTAATTGTATTTTGTATAGGTACTCGTATGCGCTATATATACAGGGTGTCAAGAAATTATATATCGCGGCTACCATATCCGGATTTTACACCTTTGATTTAGTGGAGATTGAGGTAAGAAAGGTGCCGCAATATTAACCTTGACCTTAAATTTCAAGGTCAAAATTTGTAATCGTTGATTTATATTTTACTCATCGTGAGGATAAAAGGTCTGAAAGGAACCGTGAGTCAAAACTCAATCGTTCTGTTGAAAAATGATGTTGATGTTTCATTCACTTTTAAACTGATTTTATTTATAATATATTTATGTCTCGCAGCATTAATTTTTCATCTTTAACTTTAACTTTTATTCGAAAGTACCTATTTCTCTCCCTCCACCTATATCTATCTCTACCCCAATAAAACCTCGAATAACTTTTGATAAACTTAAAAATGGAACATCCCTGCTGCTTCGTCAATAAGCACGATATCTGATTTGTATCCGACTGCGGGATGTAATATTTCAATAAACCAATAAATAAAATTAATTGAGAAATGAATGAAATGTCAACATCATTTTTCAGCAAAACGGTTAAGTTCCGACACACGGTTCCTTTCAGACTTTTTATGCTCGCGATGAGTGGAATATAATGCCATAAACAATAGTATTGACCTCGAAATTCAAAGTCAAGATCAATTTTGAGGCACCTTTCGTATCTAACTCTCCACTAAATCAAAGGTAGAATCTGCCTACGGTAGTCGTAATATGTGTATATGTAATTAGAAATACATCTAATAAGAGTAATGTAAATAAGAAATACATGTAATTTCTTGATACCTTGTACATACTATCTACAGTCCAGTGACAGCTTTGATTTGTTTTTGAATTTGCTTAAATAGTACGAAATCACATTAAAAAATGTTGAAAGTACTACAACCTTACGTTCGTGAAAACCAAAAGAAACTGTATACATGAGTTTTCTGCTTCTAAAATTAAAATTAAAAATAACTGTCGGGTGGAATCAAGTTTTATCGACGAATATTTTCAACGGACAAATTATTTTTTTTCTTCGATTTTATTTGGTTTTTTGTCGAATTCGTTGCGTGAAATTTGCTGAAATCGCTGTGAGTGTTGATTCGGCGAATTGACCGTATCATTCGGATACTATATTATTTGAATAAAGTTTACAATTGATATCCACAAGTTTTATTAATATTACCATTTACACCTTTTAAATACTTTCATTAGCCTACTCTACATTAATTTAGTAAAAATTGTACCTTGAATTTTGGATTTTGCATAATGCAATGCTTTTATAGAAGTATGTTGTGTGTTTATTTTATATGTTTTTATAGTTATATTAGACATTTTTTGTATTTTTTTGAAAATATTTTCACCTGGAAATATTATACTAAAACAATAATAAACTCGTAAAGTCCTATATATGTAGGATACAATCACAACAATAAAAGAATTTTTAAAAAACCTTTATTTTTTTTCTTCAATATATTTTTGTGCGAAGAATGACCTTCTACGCGGTTGTATAATTGAGTTAAATGAACAACTATTTTGTGATCGGTGGGACTGTACGCAACCACTACCTATACCCAGTATATTTGAACGCTTTCGCTACTAGACATAATTATATAATACTAATACAATTATAGTGTCTTCTCGCGAAAATTCTTCTTGGGAATAGGCGACACTGTAGTGGCTTCCGCATCAACGATTGTCAAGGACGAAATGTCACTATAGTGACTTTTCTTAATATGTTATATTAATAGATTTATTCACTCTTTTTTCGAAGCATCGGCGATATCATTAAAAAAAAGGCTGGTATATGATGTATTCATTCAAAACATGCACTAATGGCAAAATGTATCCGCTCGTCCCATACGTATAACATATTCTACAAAATTAATCAATGTTATGGTGAGAAATACTAAATATAATTTACATGAGTTTAAACTTTAATTAATATATTTGAGATTAGCATGCATTCAATTGAGAAATGATACATAGTTGATTTAAAAAAGTCTTGTCATCATGTAACAGCAAAAGAGTATGCACACAGGAATGCAATCCACCCCAAATATATATTTATTTTACACAAACTTACTCATATTAAATGAATACTTTGTTGGATATAACTACAACGATTTTACCATAGCTTTTAATTTGTTATGCATAGATTGAACTAATTTTCTGTGAAATTCAATGTGCACTTTCTTCTACTACTTTTCGGAAATAACATTACATATTTAAATAAATTGTGTATAATTTTTCAGGTAAATGAATCCTACTATAAAACATAATAATCAAAGTTTATACTAATATAAATTATTATTGTTAATTAAGCATTAATAATTATGTAAAATATGTCACACCCTCTATCCTATGGAATGGATGAAAATTCCCATGAGTAATTTTATTAACCGTGTTCCATAACTATAAAATAAGGCAACCTAAGTATAACATGTGTAAGTGCAGATTTTTCCCCCAGAAACGATGTTTCTCCTGAAATCGAAACATTGCATATCTTTGTATACAAGAATAAAAGAGAAAAAACTGTTTCGCCGTTGTTCCGCAACTACAGCACCAAGTCAATAAACACTATTTTCTAATAGTATTTCGTCGGTTATGCTTTGGCTCTTTTGGTGTAAATAGATATTTGGAACAACAACAGTACTTTCCACGAACGAAAGCTGCTAAAGAAATTGTAGACAACGTAAAGAATTTTTTTTTAGAATTATATCTTCCAGTACCTAAACAACGGGGAGCATGTCATTGATGTTATGACTCCATAATAAATACACATTTCAGCGTAAAAAATGTACTAAATTCATATACAAACAGCACTGTTACCAAGTGTGTAAACTCTGTTATAAGTGAACAATTTTGGAAAAATATGTTTTTCTATAATACTGTCCAACACATGTTAACCTTGGTTCTGTTTTGCAATATCCACTCGGTGATCCTTATAGAGTTCCTCGTCTTAAATACTTAATGTTTCATGTTTTTTATACATTCTTGAACACTAATCACGGAATTGTAAAGAACTTCTCTTGATCACTGTAAGTTTTAAACAATTCCAATGTTCAGTGTATAAATATGTATGTGACTTTTGAATATGAAGCCACTAAAAAACAAATACACAAGTTAATTAACTTACGAGATTTTGTTATTATGATTTTCAAGATTTAGGACACTTTCCCAAATATAGCAGTATTTGAAACTCATTGAATAATATTTGAAAGTAACGCGAAGTCTATTTAATCATAATTTAAGCATCTTTTTTAATAGTGATTGTTCGATACTTATTGAACTTTCATATTTGGGAAAGTGTTTTAAACCTTGTAAAATCATAAGATTAAAAACCTTGTAAATTAAGTAACATATGCATGTGTCTTTTAGTATGTTGTCTTCCAGCGTGACTGAGGAGAAGATTCGTATTCTTAACCGCCTTCTCGAAGATGACCACCGGTTATTGACGGTTATTAACGGTTGTTGAAATTGCTTCTGAGGTCAGAATAAGCTATGGCAGTGCTCGGTCAATCATTACTGACGATCTTGGGTTTCGAAAAGTGTCTGCAAGATGGGTCCTCCGACTTCTTACCGAAGGTCAGAAACTGCTGCGACTCGAGGTGTGCATACGGCTATTGATACGCTACCAGTCTGAAAGGGAGGCTTTTTTTGCACCGGATTGTTACCTGCGATGAAACTTGGGTGCACCATTACACTTCGCAATATAAACAAACCAGTGTGGAGTGGCGAAAGAAGAAAGAAGAAAACTCGACTCTCAGTTGGAAAGGTTTTTGCAACTGTATTTTTTATTTCAAAGGAGTTTTGCATACCTATTTTTTCCACGGACGTCGTACTGTGAACGTCGCGCACCACAGCCAACTTTTGGACGACACAAAACTCGCATATCGGCGGAAAAGACGTGAATTTACAATCTGTGACGTTATCCTGCTTCACGACAACGCTCGGCCCCAAGCAGCGGCCGTAACTCAACAAAAAATTAAGGATTTGTTCTGGACTACACTGGAACACCTTCCCTACAGTCCGGACTGGACTTATCGCCCTGTGATTATCATTTGTTTGGATCATTAAAAGACGCACTTGGAGGACAGAAATTTTGATGAATAATTGCTCAATTTTCGCCAGATTATTTCAAACCTGAATGAAGCTTCAAATTTTCTTTCCGTTCAAGATTCAACTGGAAGTTTAGTTTTTTACATGCAAATGTCTAAATTTATGTCTCTACCAGAAAAGGCATGCAAATTAGAATTTCTGAAAAAGGGGAAATTGGTTATGTCTATGTACCATATAGGTCCGATCACAATATTCATTATTCTTCTGTTCTGTTTATGTCCGTGTTGTTTTTTTATACCTGTATGTATAATTACTTCACATTTATTGTAAACCAAGGGGTATACTGGCCTTCTCAACAATAATAGTAGCAATAATAAACTAGTGCTTGGTGTTATAAATTGAACCGTGTTTTCACTGTACCTGTCTGCGCCCGCCATGAAATGAATCTAATAATTAGTTTAATATCTATAAAATGTACGTACTTGAAGTATTATCTGTTGTATAACATGTATTTTATATCTTTGAATAAATATTTTGGAATAATTTCATAGTTCAATGAAAATATCAAAATATCTATACTTCGTTTCTTTTACGGAGTCGAGGACTTAAGAGTTTCTCATTGTAGAAAAGTTATTTATTATTAACAAATAATATTTATTGCGATGTCTTGTTCTTCGATCGATTGTATTAAAATCTGTTGAAAATGTCTTTTTAACAGGAGGATGAAAGCGATGAGGATGCGATTACGGCGCAACCACACGGTGGTCCGCAGAGCAACTCTACGAACCAGCCGATCTTTGCCATGCCACCACCGCCAAGCGCAGCCGTTAACGAGAATACAAACTTAAACAGCGGTGCTGAAAGAGTTATTTACACGACTGGTATTTCGAGCACTTAAAATATTAATGCACGTTATTTATACAAACACCAGTTTTCTTAATCAGTTTTACCTTTATTTGCGTACCTACCGTTCTTCCTTTAACGTTGCTTTTTTTTTTCATTTCTGCATCCTCCAGAGATGCGTCGTTAGAAGAAAAGTGCCACCCGAAGCACACGTGATTATGATGATATAGACATTAAGCTTTCTCGAATTATTCTGTAATTTTTCATCACCGTAGTTAATGCAACCTAAAATTCTCGCTTCTCTGTATGCTACTATTTCAAATTACAGGTGATTTGAATGCGTTTAAGGGAATTTAATATAAAAGCTGCTTGAAATATGAGAAAATCTCCGAACTAGTTTGAAGTTTGAAAAAAGCTTATTTTGTTATATATTTAAGGAGACAAGGTAAATAAAAACTTCTGCTAACAAATTATATCAGAGGAACAACATTTAGGTATACTTTTCTCCAGAACTACTCAATGAAATTGCAAGATTTTTATTTTTGTTTTGTTCGTTAGTAATCAATCGTGATTACGAAAGTGTAATTATTTTTGGGTGTTAGAGCAGTTCACAAAAAATCAAAATCAAAGAAAGAAATATTTTTCTAGAATTTATGTAAAAAATTGATAAATTAATTATCCTTTCTACGAACGATTAAGACGTTTTCAATAACAAAACGAACACTCCGAAAAGTGTACCTAAAGTTGGGTTGTTTTTCTGATAATTTGTTACCAGGAGTTTTTTTTTACACTGCCCGCTTAAATAGTAGTAACACGCTTTAATATGCGCCGGGAAAATTTGATATTTTTATAGATAATTATGAATTAATGATCATTGATATCGAAATACCATTAAAAACTTCAGTCTTCAAATTAAGTTCTCTACCGAAAGTTTAGAGTTTAAGTTATTTACTAGTATAATTCAGCAGGCATTCACTTATTTTTATTTATTGTGATAGTGTGAACGAATCCGTGTACAGAAAAAAACAATCCCGTTTTGCTTATGCATAGATCCTTCCGAATTTCGTAGAAAGAAATGGCTTCGTAAGACCATGCATTTCTATAGTCTTAGTACGTACTGTTTAAAAATTATTTGGGGAACAATTTACAACCCACGAATGATATTTTCAATGTGCCATAACTTTTTATTCATCTGAATTATAGTAACACAGGAGTACTACAAAAATGTTTCTATTGTGTATCTTCGCAAAGAAAAAAAAGTGGTATTCTCTCGTTACATATACACGGTGTCTTGTAACAATCAAGCATATCTTCAGGTCTGACTTAGGGATGCAAGAAAAATGAAATATTTCAATAATTTTATTCCAATCGGTTCATTATTTTCTCTAGTTTGAATACTTTTAGTAGGAATGATATCTGATTTGTCACATTAGATTGTAACGAAGCTTATCGAATAAGAAAAGTATCGGTAGGTTGAAAAGAGGTTAATTGAGACATACATTATATGAACATTTTTCACTATTTCTGCGTACCTAATTAATCACTGAAGTTATGTTCACATTTTATGAAACTTACTCACATTATTGATACAGGCATGCTGAGTTATGTACAATATTGCAATGAGCAATATTTTCATTAAGTGGAGGAGGCGGCGATAACGTCGAATTTATACGATTTACGATCTTTTCTTCTATTTTTTTGCTTGAATGATGAATGTTTTTTGAATATACATTCTACGATATTTATTACTTTTACTTTACGTGCACTTATTTCATATTCTATTGATGTTATGAATTATTTAAACGTGTATTATTACGATACTCGTCATTTATTTTACATGCTTTAGTACAATCGACTTTTACTGTCTGTTTAGGCTGGTGCATAATAAATATGTATGCATCATGAAATAAAATATTTTGGTAAGATAATGTACTTTAAACCATAAATTTTATTACATCGGTGGTGAAATATAAGATCTGTTTGATGAGTATCGCGAATATCAATATAGACTTGAACCGTGTTTATGGCATTTTCGTTAGATTTTGTACTATTTCTGACGTTATACTCTCAATTACGTGACGAACATTAATTTTTTTTTTTTATTGAAAAATTTGCAATTCTGTTAACAGAGATTATACAGTTTCATCTTTAATTCCTGTTTTAATAAAATAATCTAAAAAGACTAAATTTGCATAAAGATCCACAGTCCACGAATTACATATCGCTTATACTGTTGCTATACCAATTAATAATCGAATTTCACAAATTTTCTTATTTTTGATTATATTTTGATGAAACCTTTATTGATATATTAATGAGACTTTTTTTATGAAAATGAATTCGAACGTGCATTTTTGCCGCGAACGCTATATGCATTGTACTCCGATTATGTATGAAACGGTAATTGCGTTCGCGCAGACATTTTTTTAATTCCGTGAATGCAAGTGTTCCGCAACCAATATGCCTATATTTTTTTATAACATAATAATTATGTTGCTTTTGTAACTTAAAATAAACGGCAAATTGTATTTCTTTGGGAATCAAAAGTTTGTGAAAATGTATAGTTATATTTACAATGTTAACCGTTTGCGGACGGGACTGTATGATGCGTCTGCCAGGACGAGAGATTTTCGGAGCGTGCGGCGGAGAAATGATGTCCGCTCGAAAATTTGGTCAAAACAACGATAAATTTTATTACACGTAAAAAAAAAAAACTTAACAAAAGAGCCTGTTAATAGTATTTTAATAAAAGTATTTATTACCGATGAACTTCAAATTTGTGGTTCAAAATCCTGAAATGTATACGGTCTGTCTGAAAAGTTTTTTGAACTGAAATTGAAACAGCAGTTTTCCGTAAAATGGTGATGACTTTCATTATCAAATAATTAGGGGTAACACCACGATGATAGGCCAAACATGATGGGATAACTTTGTAAGTGATTATAAAGAATATTATGAATTTTATTAGATATACCGAAAAGTTCTGTCCGTTTTTCAAGTAAGAGAGAATAATTTTTTATAATGTTTATTAATATTTAATTTACAATATAATTTCCTTCAGCGGGACGTGGTTTTCCGCAAATGCCAATCGAACACATTTGTGCCGATCTGTTAACGCAGGCTTACTCTGCATTTTATCTTTCGTTTTCTGTGTTCACACTCGTAAAACTCGCCGTACATTCTTCACGCGTGTTTTAACACCAGTATTTTCTGCAATTTGTCTAGCGGTCATTGTCGAATTCGATGCCAGCCTAAAAACTGGCACGTTTTTAACGTGATATTAGAACAGGAGGACGACCAGAACAATTTTTTATACCGTAATTGTCCTGATTTTTAACTAATTTACATATTACGATTCGGATGTGTTTTATGCAACGAGCGGAACGTCCTCTCTGAATCATAAGATCAGAGACCATGAGCGGAACGTCCTCTCTATGGTCTTTGGTGAGTACCAAGTCGCATGATATACAGGGTTTTCCATTAAGGGCGGGTCGATGTTGAAATGGAATAAAACAAGCTGTGTGTGAGGTATTAACGAAAGTTTTTTTTTATTCGAAAGGCCCATGTATGCCATTATGTATGGAATATGACATCGTTCAAATGTCCGTCGCGGCTTCGCACGGTGGCACGGATCCGAGAGGTCCAATTTTCAATGACTCTGCCGCATAGATCCGGCTGAATTTGAGCGATGGCCTGGGTTATGTTGACTTTGAGGGCATCGGTCGATTGCGGCTTATTGGCATAGACCTGCGACTTCAGAAAACCCCACAAGAAAAAGTCTAACGGGGTCAAATCGCACAATCTTGGTGGCCAATTCACGTCACCTCCGCGAGAGATAACCATAACCTCAAATCGTTCATGCAGAATGTCCATAGTGGCGTTCGCTGTGTGGCTCGTAGCGCCGTCTTGCTGGAACCACGTGTCGTCCACGTCCATATCGTTCAATTCGGGCTTAAAGAAATTGGTTATCATCGATCTGTAACGCTCGCCGTTGACGGTGATAGCCTCACCAACGTCGTTTTGGAAAAAGTACGGACCAATGACGCCGCCGGCCAAAAATCCGCACCAAACAGTAACTTTTTGTGGATGCATTGCCACCTGGTGAACCTCGTGTGGATTGGCGTCGTCCCATATACGGAAATTTTGCTTGTTAAAAAACCGAGGAGGCCCCGAACGACCCCTTCAACTGCCCATTCTCCATACCAGGAGACGGGGTGGGAATATGCCAGGGCCAATGGCTATCCAGGGCGGTTTTCCTACCGTACCACGCATCGTAGCGCAACTCGCACGATGCAAATACACTTACTGACAAAAGTTAAGAAACAAAATGGTCGTTTGGGAATTACTGTATATTTTGAATCTCCTGAGATACATAGGTCGAAATTAAAAATAGCATGAAGAGATTACATTCCATACATGAACATACAATATGTTTTTTTTCTTTCGATAATACTTGTATACGCACTATAATTAATTTTGAATCAGGGAAACGAAACAAAAGTTTTTGACATATGTTAAGAAACATAATTTGCTTGAATTATAAAAAACTCTAACAAACGCTTCTAACAAAGAAAGACAATCTAGTAAGATGTTGGATAACCCTTAGATTTGATGACTGCATGGCACCTGCGTGGCATTGATTCGATTAATCGCATACAAATCTCAGACGGTATTTGGGACCATATTTTGGTAATTTTTTGCATTAATTCCATTTTATTGGTAAAAGAATGGTTTCCCAATTGACGTCCAACGTAATCCCACAAATGTTCAATTGGATTCAAGTCTGGAGATTGACTTGGCCACTTAATTACATTAACATTTTGCTCTATGAGAAATGCCTTAATTAATTTAGAAGAATGTTTGGGGTCATTGTCATGCTGAAATGACCACTCTGTTGACATTTTCTCGCTAGCAAATGGCAGCATATAATTTTGTAAAATATCACGATACACAAATCTATCCATTGTCTCTTTTATTTGTATTAATGGACCGGGACCGTTACGTGAGAAACAACCCCATACCATCACATTCCCACCACCAAATTTTACTGTTGGTTTCAGATACTTGATATTAAATCGCTGTCCAATAGGACGTCGTACATTACTCCTGGAATCATTTCTAAATAAGTTGAACTTACTTTCATCACTCCATAGAATTTTTTACCATTCACCAATAGTCCAGTTAATGTGTTCTTTAGCGAATTCCAATCGAGATTTCCGATTCTTTTTGGAAACAACTGGCTTCTTAGATGCTTTGCGTGAAAAAAGATTATTTTCATCTAAACCACGGCTAACTGTCCTGCTACTAATATTACTTTTCAAAACGCTTTCGTAGTACTGGCAGTTGACTGTTTGACCTTGAGGAAAAAAATTCAAAATGCACAACTCCGTTGAAATCGAAAAAAACCGTGAACATCATCTTGACAGAGGATCGAACCTGTCGTGTTTTTTTTGGGCGTGGAGATCCTTTGCCAACCCACTGTGATGACTGCACTTTCGTCTCGATGTCGTATCCGTAAACCCAACTCTCGTCTCCTGTGATGATCCTTTGAATGAATGTTCCTTCTGCTCTTCGGTCATCAAACGAGGAAGAAACTTTGCTGCAACTCGATGCATGTTCAATTTTTCTGTCAAAATCTCATGACATGACCCAATTGATATTCCAACCTCTTCTGAAAGTTCCCTGACAGTCAGACCACTGTTGGCACGCACAAGATCACTGCTTTTCTGAATGTGAGTGTCATCGATTCAGGTCGAAGGCCTTCCTGGTCGAGAGTCATCTTCGATTGATTGACGACCATTTTTAAATCTTAAATTCGCGGCTGTGATGCGTTGCGTGTCCAAGTTTTGACAGACTTGGTGCGCGTTCAGTCCAATTTTTCAATTCCCGCTAAACCAAATCCAAGTAATCTAAACACAAACACGCAACAATTCTCCTGTTCACGTCGTATGCCCTTCCATCGATGAGAGGACTTGAATTTATAAGCATAGGTTCGCATGATTCGCAAGAAATCTTAATTTTAAAACCGAGTCCAAATATACGACTCTGTGAATTTCAGGTCGCCATCACACACTTTACACTTTACTGCTCCACTAATGGCTGAGAAGACAGTCACAAAATTTAATATTCGGTAGCCAAACGTTGCGTCGACTTCTATGTCGACATTTTCACTTTCTTTTAATTTTTTCGCCGACGTACTCGTGCTGGCTTCCTCACATTCTATCAAATACCGATTTACCGGATGCTGTTTCCTTTTACGACTTGTAGGAGGACGAAATATATTTTTTGTGACATAATTAAAAACTTCTCCAAAATGCTGGAAATGATGCATACTCTGACAATACTTGCGAAAGACTGAGTGAATCTTTCGGAACCTCTGCCATACACCAATACAGCCAGTTCACAAACACTTTGAAAATAGTCCTATTATGTCGATAGAGCCCCCTGCAAAATCCTTCTAACGTGAACGATACAAAGTAACCCTTCTGCGCAGCAGATGGTCGCTACCCGCTCCGAAACGGCCGATCAGAATGTTAAATCTCTTATTTCTTATGATAATACTGCCAAAGGCTGTGTTACTGATGAGAGAAAATATTTTTTATATCGATTTGTTACGTTTCGTGTTATTTACATGTGTATGAGATGATGAAAAAGTTATGGCAAATCGAATGTTTCTCTTGGTGTTATTTTTCTTCTTTCAGTTTGTACCATTTCCTGGAGAAATTAAGATCAGAAATGTATGCTCAACGCGAAGATCTTGCATTTTGCATGCATTAGTCCGTTTACCTAAGATCAGCTTACAGGGTCTAATGAGAACCTCGCGTCTGATCTCTCTCCTCGGATTTTTATAAAATTGGGAGGGATCGATGTCGACTTTAAATAATGATGTTCTGTACTGTATTTCATGGAAATGCGTATTTTTTTTTATAAATATCTGATTCAGAGAAATTGTGTCTGTAATGAATTTTGATATAAAAACACCTGTTAAAGTATTCCGTCTTTTTAATTGTAAATTTCGCACTTTCTTCTAATTGTATTTTAATATAGTTTTATAGTAAAACTATATAAATTCGGATTATTTAAAATAAACAATTAAAAAGAAAAAAAGTCTGTCGACGTGTACGATTCGAATTTGAGATCGTTCGTTTACGAGTCAACCGATTATTGCGCTTATTCTCCGTGTCTAATCTTCGAATCATTCAAAATCTAATTCGAATCGTTCAAATCTTTTATTACACTGTGTAGAACATCGGTCGACATCAATTCCCTCGAACAACAAAATTCGAGAGGGATCAGATGTGAAGTCCCCGCTGTTAGTATGCATCAGTATCATTGGTGTACAACTAGTGAAATCTCATTAATATTATGTCAACACATTGTCAATCTACAATGTGAAAATTCTAATTTGTAATAGTACATTTTTAACATGTTTCTCATTCTATAAGAATAGCTTTTTTTAGTTCTTTACTGCATTTATGTTTTTAATGGGATTTAACAGTATTATTGTAAATTTCGCATTATCTAAAAAGTAGAAGTAATAAAAACGAAAAGACCCTTAATATGTCTTTGTTTTGCAACAAAACTTGCCGTAAACAACCCCACTTTGTCAGGCTTTATTCTAATAAATATTCCCTTTATTTTGGTAATTTATACACTTATTTACATACCTGTAAGCATGCATGTTTGGAATAATGAAGGAGCAACGAACACTGGTGTTGCTGAAAGGTTTTTCATTATTTCAAATATAGTGATATACGTATGCCATGTAAAAATACATATCTGTACATTATGTTATAACGTATTCGTAGGTGTACACGTGTGTGAGTTGCATGTGTGACTTGAGGAATGATCTTAACGCTGAGAACGATTGAATAAAAGTAATCGCTACATTATTCCTTTCGTTACTGGGTAAATATAGTAGTTCAGTATAAACAGTTTCGTTTTAATTAATTCTGCAACGTTAATTGCTTCTGTTTCATTGTCTTGGAATCGTACCAAAGTAAAGGATTTAATTTCTAATGATTCCGAATCTTTTACTTGTGGTATTTGCTCTGTAATGTAAATATATTGTGTTTCACTTTGTTATAAATTGCATTTCTATTTTTTCCATCCTAGCGTTTGTATGCTCTTCTGGTACCATTAAAATATTAAGAAGCTAGACTCGATTTAAGTGGCAGTATGCACCTTAAGCATATTATTGTCACGAAAACTATTACTCCTAGCTTCTTACTGTGATTCTTAACTAATTATATATGGCTTAATTTTAACGTACTATAATTACTTTAACCTTAACCTCTCACTCCAGTTTTATTACTTATTTTCATCTTTGGCTGCAATCAATTTTGTAATTCGAATTATTGTAATTCGTGTTTAATGATTTAACATTAAACATTAGTACTTGAACATATTATTATTTGCTATTTAGTTAATTATGGTTTCTGGCTTAACTAAAATTGGATTAATTATTTGATTCTATGAGTAACATACAGAATTTCTAAGACGAAAGAAACCTAAAAGTCGGAAATCAACATGGTTTTATGAAGCTTTATATACCATTCTAATGGTATTTACGAATATACATAGTTAACTTAGTTCAAGAAATAATCAGAAGTCATATATAGTTACAAGATTTAAATAAGATTAACTAAATATTTATAGAACTTTTAGAGAGAACTTACATCTCAATTTTTCTTTATGAAAAATATTTGATTTATAAATGATTTTGTACTCACCGTATTGCGAAACTGGTTTACTATTTACGTGTTCTACATGTATGCTATTGTGCACAATTTTCGTTACAACAAATGGTAGTGCATAAACTTTAAGTTTTACTTTTGGTGTGAACACATTAAGGTAATATTTATGTTTATAATTTGTAAATTGTTGTGTATTTCAGTTACTTCATATTGAAATTTATTTAAATCATTGAAAATACCAGATTTTGTTTCACCATAATCATGTAACCGTTAGATTAAATTAAATTAACAAAGGTGATTTGGTGTTGTCGAAGGCAAATATTTTACATAATAATAAAAAAAATTTTCTTACGAATCCTTGCTAGAAAGAGAAGAGTACTTCTTAACAGTACAGTCTATGCATAGTCTTCTGACGTGCACATCAAAGGTTACGTTCGTTGCAAAGACACGATGTTATGAAACATTGTGATTAAATATGCCATGTTCAGTTTTTTTTTTATACAAGATGATCATGATATCAGGAAAATCTTGGAACATATCAAGAAACGAAATACGCTTAATTAAATGCTACGAGTTTTTGTTTAGCTGTTTGGTTTCACATGTGATTATGTCTACCAATGGGTAATCCACTATTTCCTGGCGAAATCAACCTCTGTTTCTCTAGAAACTAATGATCATTATAAAATCCCTCAGTGATATTCATATTCAAAAATGATTTTCCTACGTCTTGCACGATTTTTAATCAGCGAAAGATCAGCAATAGATTTTTCATCTAAACACTTTTTCGCGTAATTAACCCTCGGATAGCGATGACTGGGTCACTTTGACTGAAATTCTCAAGAACTTCATTCAACTCAACAGCTTTCGATAATTTATTCACATCAATAGTTGTTTATATTAATTCGAATGAAAAGAACTCCAATTCACAGCGACATTTCTTCAAAAATTGCATTTAGAAGAAATGATGCATGAGAGTCCAAACGGACCCATGCTTTGCTATTTCCAGAAACATGAAACCTGTCAGCCTTCCAAGGGTTAAAAAAAGTAGTGGATTCTTTATTGGTATACCATAGTAAGTATAAAACACTTAATTCTAATTGCACAATTTAGTGTTCCACCTGTAGTATCTATACAGTAGTATAATGTGTACTAATCAAGTGTGATTTAATTCGTATTTTGATTATAGCCGCATCTACAAATCCGTTCATTGGCGCAAACGTGGGTACAACTGGCACGGGTCCTACAAAATGGTAGTCACGGAAAATCGAGAATGTAGTACACACACGAACGTGAGAAGATTTATTGCATAATTAATGCGCGGGGTGGATTTTTGCGTGCATCAACGGGACAGCTTGACATGTTTTTTTTTGTTGTTGAAGAGCATGTTTACAGTATCGGGTCAGTTGAAAAGTTGAAAGAACCGTCGATACCAATTTTATAGAATTTTTTGCTCGATAAGAACAATTTAAGACAATTTTTTCTTGTAAGAATAATTTATATTATCCAGTGAATGAATCGTTAACGTTAATTGTTTCAAATCTTCGAATAATTATATGTAACGGACACCTTCGAGGATTCTAAAAAACTTACCGAAATGAAACTCGTTTTTTCATGTTGACGATATATATGTTTTAAATCAACCTTTCTCTTTTTTTTTATAACTTTTTTAGTATTTTCTTATATACTACCCAGGTGTAGAATAGTTCTCTGAATATAGTATTTTTTTAAGGAACAATTATTTTTGTCTAACTCCATGCTAACATAGTAAATTTATATTAGGTACGTGTACGAGAACACATCTTAAACGTCTTTTCGTAAAAGGAACATTCGAAATTTCAATGTTTCGAAGTTTCAGTGTTCAGAAACACTTGAACCGAAGAGTTAAGGAAAATGTTGTTCATTCTGAATCCAATGTATGCGAATTATATTAATGAAACAATTATATCGTACGACTCGATGCTTAATATTTTCGAATGACATAATCACTGACCCATCATCAGTTGGTATTTAAATAAACAAATACGTTACCTAAAAATGGAAACGAAATAATATACTACTTTATTCCAGTCTCTACGCGAAGTGGCACAATTAATACTTCAAACGAATTTAGGAACTAAAAAAAAAGAAGAATCAAGAATAGGGGAAATTTATGTGTACGCACGAATCCACCACGCTTTTTTTTTTGCGGACGGATTAAACAAAATGTGACACGAAGGAGCCTCAACATGTAAGTTTCTCCTTCAAAGATTCTTGACTGCTCTCGAAGTTATAAATAATAATATTATATTGGAAGCTAATATTTAATAATAAAAGTTTCGTTTTGTTCATGCATGAAGTATATAAGAATTTGTATGTGTATGTTTTATTACATACAGAGTAAAGCATATATGGTGTGCCAAAAGAATTTCTTCAGAATTGAAATCGATATAAAAAAATATTGTTTGGTAAAGTTGAAGTATTTTACCGGTGAAGATGTGTCAATACATCATTTATATTCACCAATATCTTTTGATAATTTTTTGTTTTTTTCTTTATTTATTTAAATACTCTGGCACTTAATTGTATTATAATATCTGCAGTACTATTGGTATGTATTCTTGGTGAATAGTATTTATTTAAATAGATCGATATGATTATTATATCAATTATTTGCATACGTAGTAAGAATACAACAAAAATACTTTCATATGAGACGTTGTGGATCGTAAGAGCGAACTCAACCAGAAGATATTGTGCCTCATTAACTATTTTTTCGCTTTTTCTAAATACGACGAACAATAAATGTACTTATAAGGTGACTGTAAATTATTAATAATTATTAATTGATAATTGAAATACTAGAATGACGATCAAATGAGCCTAGAAGGGGCAGTAAGGTTATTTATTAATTAAAAATTACAGTTGTCTTTATTTTTCATAATTGAATACAGATATTAGGTTTGTCAGAAAGTTTTGTCATTTTTCATCCATGTCTCAATGACAAAATGCAGGATTTTTATGCAAATGTTAGTAAAAAATTACCAGAACAAATGGAGTATCGTTTTGAAACACGATAGCAATTGGGTTTCAGATGAATATTATGTAGAATAACCACGTTCTAGCACAAGTCAAATGAGATACGTAAAACACCGAGAGAACTTTCTATCAGACGTAATATTGAATCAATTTGTATCATTGTATTGAATTCAATTAAAGTTTCAACTACTCTATCTTTTAAAAATGGTGTATTACTCGATGGTATTTTTCTTAATATTGTAGTTCATGTATAATTAATTTAACATAATTATAAAACTATAAAGGAAATACATAAATAAGGTTTGTGACGCTCAGATAATTGTCTCAATTCTGTCGGGATAATTGACTCGGAAAACATTCCTCTTATAAATGTTATTGACGTAATAACACAAGTCCTGAGGCTTGAAAATGATGACGGACAATAATACTGTTGTAGTAGATACTGAAATGATTATAACTACAACATTAATTATGTTAGAATCATTATCTAATTCAATCGAACGTTTATGATAAATACTTGCATCGAAATGCATTAAAGTCCCCATGTCGTTTTTTGTCCACTTCCATGACCATGTACTGAGTCATTGCAAAAGTCAATACGATTGTTCCCTAAAATTAAAATAGGTTGGGTATTATGCAAAATAATTTTTTAGAATAAGTAGATAACCTTGGTTACTTTCATCGACTTTCCTTAATGTCCTCAACGATATAAAGTTTATTTACTAGATCTGTCAGAAATTTCTGTTATTGTGTCTCTTATTTGGTTTGTTGTTAAGATGCGTTTAACAATAATCTTGAACGCAAGAATTACTAAATTAAGCAACGTTATTTCATCCTTCTGACAATTTCTGAACGTGTCCTGGCTCGAAATACTTTAGTCTGTTATTAAAACACAGATAGAAAAGCGACAGAAGATTCCGGTGGAGCTAATGTACAGGGTGTCAATAGAAATGTGAAAAATGTGCGCAAAGTGAATTCTAGACGTCAAAATAAAGTTCATCCATACATATGTCCGACCTCGATTCATTTTTTAATTATACACAATTTTTTCTATTCTAACAGGCTCGGTCGAAACGTCTGTAGGATGGCAATTTTGATAAGAAAATAATCTGAACGAGTGTTCTCACAATATCTATTGACACCATGTAAGAAATTCACCTATCCCCAATCCTTAATATTTTATTACCACAAAATTAAACTTCTGTATTATAAATCTATCAAAACGTTTGAATTGATTTCAGAAAAAATCAAGAAATTTGCTCAAAAAATCTTCGCAAATATTTCGACTTTACCTAACAATATATTTATATCATGAATACCTTTGAAGGTATTCGATTACTAGCCGCCATGTGCCTCGCCTAGGTGTCCCAAAATTATAAGGTTAGCCGAAACACGCTAATATCAGGTATGCCGAAAGAATTCGAAAAGTTGTTCACCATTTCATAATCTAAAACTTTGTTTTTCAAAATACAAGCAATTGTATTTCACAATTTTCTTAAATTGCAATAAAAACATCGAAGTGCTCGAATGGTTTTATGAGATTCTAATTTTTCTGACTCATGGTAAACCTAAGTACTGGACATCGTAAGATGATCGAAGAACACTTGATCGATCACGACGAGGGGATTAAGCTTGAATATGCAAATTTTTAATGTGCTTTCCAATAATTTTGGGTCGCTCTGTATACATATATACGTTCACTGCAAACTTTATCATATTAAGTAATCTTATTTAAATTTATAAATTATGATAATTATTAGCATTTCCAGCAAAATTATTAATTTACGCAGTGATAAATTTGCTAACTTTGTTCTATATAACACCTGTGTTCCGTGAGAGATGTATATACCAAATGTTGTCTTCGAAATGAAACTTTCCGTCGTTATCAGGATGATGTGAAATTAATGCACAATATTGGTAATTGTCGGCGTTCTTTTTATCAGGACCAGTATTTCGTTGAACGAATCACGAAATGATAACTACCTATTTAGAGTGTCCCTTAATGGACAGTAATACTGTCCAATTAGCAGTGCAATCTGAAAGGTGATGATACTACATGACAAAAGAATGAATATTTCATCAAGTTTTTAAGTAGATAAGTTTTCGATGGATACTTTTGGTATACATTATTCCTATATTTAAATAATTAAAAAGTATATAAAAACATAGCATTATTATCGTTTCTCTGGGAATTATAAAGAATGGTTATTATTTTATTATTACCTATTATTATGTATTATCAATGTAGCATGTGTTTTTCCTTGGAAACAAATATTTAATTACTACTAATAACAAAATTACTTTAAAATAAATTACACATAATCACTTACAAGTATTTATCCACCCACATTTGATTCACTTTATACAAACCTGTGTCAAGTTCTTCAACAAGAAATATTTTGTATATGATAAGGCTCATGAAACAAGCAAAACTCAAGTATTCGTTCAGAGATCGCCAACTGAAACTTAAAATGTAAAAAGTAATTCTCTCGTTGACAGAAGAGCAAATATAGGTAGGCAATAGTGTATGTTTACGTAAGATAATTATACGCATACGTACACAGCCATTTTTGGTATAAAATTTTCAAAATCAAAATTAAAGGAATAGGTTAATATTTTAATATTATTCTCCAAATTAGTTTAAGCAAATACTTTTATACTATAGAAGGAAAACTATATTATAAATAATAAAAATGTCATAAAACATGAAAAACAACTGGCACGCCAAAATTACCCATGAGCATCTTTTAAAAAACGCAGAACCATGCTGCTGTTAACAGGAACTACAGTAACAAGGAAAGAACAATTGATTATCTTCTATGCGAGTGCAGACGATTCAATGTACACAGACAGAAATATAACTTGAGACCAAACACAACTCTAACATCACAAGACCACACAAAAAACACCTTAAAAATATAATGATCTAATTAAAATCAAAATCATTCAACAGGGAATAAGTGAATGGAGAACAAGGAAAGAAAAGGCTCAATTCATACCTTTTCTAGAAAACGGAACCACTTATGAAGTACGTTTATTGTTATTTTTCTAGTTTATTATTTCATATAGAATCATCACCTTTCGGTGACCACCATTCATGAGATCACCCACGGGTGTCACTTATAGAAAATGATGGAAACAACTTTAGGAAACCTTATTAATTTATCAGAAAAATCGTATTACCGTCAAGTGAATTTTACTACGCATAACGAGTTCGTACGTGACAAATTCCATATGGCATTTCATAAAATATTTCCACACATCTTTGTGCTTTTCACTGGAACATACATGTACGAGGTTAACCATCCGTTATAATTTTCATAG